AGCGATGACTCTAGCATTGAGTTACTACTCAGAGTCAAGTCAGATAGTACAATAGATGAGTCAACTATAGATTTGAGAACTGAAGAATCGAGTACAGAAGCAACTACAACTGCTGAATCGGATACAGAGGACACAAGTGCTATAGCTTCCAGTACCTCTGATGCAAGTGAAACGGATACCATAATTGTTCCATCTGAGTCGCTGACAATCCCTGAACCGACTTATCCGCTGGTTGATCCATCAAAACCTATTGTTATCACAGTTACATATGAGGGTGAGTATGCAAGATTCCTAGTGGATGGAATTCATATATCACTTTTGCAAGGAGTTCTTGCCATTTTCCAAATTGATGAAGGTTATTTGAAAGTTCAGGGTGACTTGTGGATCAAAATTGCTGACGATGGTTTATTAGAATTGGTTGATGATAGAGACATTGCTGCATTTGGTTGGTCAATAGAAGATAGTCAACTATACTACAATGTGCATCAAACTATTATTAAGAGAGATTTGGATGAACCTGTTGGGTTCAGTGTCTGCGAAGAGGAGAATGGCGACTTGTTTGTTTATGTTGGTGAAGTTTATGGATGCCAAGTTCTTGAAAATGCATCTTTAAACAACTATGGATCAGCTGACGATCCAACTTCATCCATTTCTACAGATGAGGAATCTCAGGTGTCTTCTGAATCAAGCGAAGTGACAGATACAATTAGTACCTTAGAGTCCAGCGAATATATAACGTCGGCTGTCACATCCAATGAATCAACCACTTCCGCTACTTCTGAAATCGAAACCGAAACCGAAACTTCATCCAATACTACTTTCCCAGTTTCAAGTGAATCATTTGAAGACGAATCCACTACTATTTCGGACTTCACTTCAGCAAGTGCAACTACCACATCACTGATATTTTCAACCATTGACACTACCAGTGCAGTAGTTATCTTCACGACGACCATTTGTGATGAAAATGGTATTTGCTCAGAAATTGTTATTACCACTACTCCAGGATGGAAGACTGCTTCTGAATGGCACTGTGATTCTGATGGTATATGCGATGATGAGACTACATCTACCATCGATGAAATCACAACAACTACAGTAACAGGATGGGTTACAATGACAGAGACATCTTGTGTGAATTCTACTATCTGTAGTATTCAAACTGTTGTTGTGTCTACGGTTGGTACAACCAATGATCCAGTCACCATTACAAATAGTCTGGGCGATACTGCCACCGGTACACCTAAAGAAGCTTCTTCTAAATTTTGGCCCGGCTCTTTCTACACTACAATCACGATGACTATTTGTTCTGAAAACGATCAATGTGAAGAAGTGGTTTCTGTGATTCCACCAAATGAGACTATGTACATTTCTACATCTACTAAATTTGAAAAAGAAGGAGCAAATTTCCGCAGTGGAAATACAGACTTTTCCACAGTTACCGAACAAGGTTTTCATATGTCTTCGGATCGGATCGAAAATGGTGCTATAGTTCTCAAGTTTTCACCAATGTTTGTTTCGTTATTGGCTTTGATGAATTTTTTTTTTGTGATATTATGTTATTATTACGGAGAAGAATTGGTTTTCCATTTTAAATTTCCCCTTTGGTTTATTTGGTGAATTTAAATTTCGGTAGTTCCTAAAATGACATGTTGTACTCCCTTCCATGCTATCTTATAATCTTTTTATTTATTATTTACGTTTAGGGATAAGTCCCTGTATTATGAGTAATTATTATATGATTTATTTTATATTTTAAAATGACACAGGGAAAATGTAGCATCACTCTCATTTATATCTCAGAGCGACTGTATACCTATACAGCAAAATTAATTTAGGATCTTCTGCTTTTTGTTTTATATGTAGATGATTTACCTGTAGTCATAGTCTTAGCTTTCTTAGCAGGTTTTGGACCTTCATTATCTCTACCGTATGGATCAAAACTACGTTTCTTCTTTTGTTGTTTATCAGATCTATTTTTAGAACCAGTAAGCAATATTTTATCAGCATTGGCAAAATCAAGTTCAGTTTGTTTGGCTTGTAGTTGCTGTTGCTCTTGTTGTTGTTTTGATGAGTTTTTGGTAGTTTTGGAATTTTGAACGTGTCGCTTACGAAGGGTTATAAGTTCATTTGGATTAATGTCTCTATCATCATCGAATAATATTGAACTTGACAGTTTTTTGGTTGTTGATCGACTTTCTGAAGAAGGTTCTTCTTCAACTTCTTCTTGTTCATTTTCTTCATTGATATCATCGATAGGAACTGTACGAACGAATTTTTCTTCATTTAATCTTTTCCAAACAATTTCTAATCTTGAAGCAAAAGTTTCATTAATGTTATGTTTGATTACTTTCTTATCTGTGAATTCCAAAGTGTATAATGATTTACCATTATTGTAAATATTTTTGAACGCAACCGAACTTTCATTTAATAAATCTTTAGGATTTTCAAAAACTGTTGAGTTCTGTTGAATTAAATTGTCAAAAATTTCCAGACATTGGGCAACATTATCAATAAGATTTTCATCTTGTTGAAGAGTTTGGTTCTTCATCCATTGATCTACTTGATCCCAATCTCCAACTTCTGTTTCTTTATTTGTTCGTTCAATCAATTGAGCAATTTCTTTGGCATTAATTCTAACGGCATCAGTAACAAAATTTGGTGTGTTTAATACTTTAATACTGTCAACTGGTGATTCTAAAAGTGATAAACTAACTAAAAGTTGATTTGGCATAATAAATCTTACCGATTCATCTTCTTTACGTGCCATTGCATCTCGCCATTTATATAATACTTCAACTAAAGGTTTTTTGAATGGTGGAACATTATATTGAGATACAATAGAACCCCATGGTTCCTTTGGATTGAATGCCATTACTGGACATGTAACTTGTTTGGAAAATAAATTTGCTAATGGTCTGAATTTAGTGTACTCAAATCTTCTCTTTGCAACTTGACGTGAATCATGTAATACTCCACGCAACTTATCAGAATCTATCAATTTGTTTTTAAGTTGATCATAAATGTACAAAAGGAAATGAGTATCTGATCTAGCATATGCCAACATTGGTGAAGATAATGGTCTTATTCTCCAATCAGCTAATTGATATTTCTTAGAAGTTTTAAATTGAGCATAATGTTCTAACAAATAAGCCAATGAAAATCTGGATAACCCAAGTGCTCTAGAAGCATGATATGTATCAAATAAAGAAACAATATACAACCCCAAATCTCTTTGTAACCAAATAATATCCATAAAAGCCCCATGGAAAACTTTAACAATATTCGGATTGGTAAACACTTCGTTCAATTCAGTTAATTCATCACGTAATGCTAAAGTATCGATAATCCAATCTTGATCACGATTAGAAATTTGCATTAAACAAACAATACCATAGTATGTTCTGAAATCATGATGTTCCAAATCAACTGCAATTTCTTCCAGTTTCTTCAATTCTTCAATCATTTTGTTTAATGCTTCAACAGTGTCAACCCATGTTGCTTTAGTAGATGACCAATCTTGAGGAGATATAGGTTCTGACTTAGTTAATACCTTCTCAGGATATGGTTGATTATCGATTTCATATTCATACGGTTGAGCATAATATGGAGGATCTATGATTTCAACAGTGTCTTCCCAGACTGGTTCTGGATTCACCATAGTATCTTTAAAGGGTACCAAAGCATTTGGTTTAGTGGTCAACCTTGGTTTAAATGGAGTTTCTTCTGAATTATCAACTGGGATTTTAAATTTTAGTTGAGGTTTTTGAATTCTTTGAGATTTTTCATTTTTAATGGTAGTATTACCTTCATCTAAGTATTGATATTGTTTATCTTTATCATCTCCAGAAGGTGATTTTCTTTTAGATTGATCAAAAGTCATTTCAATTTTATCAAATATGGAATCAAGTATTGTTGAAATTGGTTTCCATGATGATTCAGAACTGATTTCATCTTTCCCATATAAAATAGAATTAAATTCACTTGGATTAGATGATGCTGATCTTAATAAATCATTAGATATCTCAAGCAATCTTTTACCCTGTTCATCAATCTCTTCACTTAATTCATGATCAACAGCTTTATAAAAATTAACATCTTGTGCAGCTAATGAATTGGCTGCTCTTATAGTACTTGTTAATTTAGGTAAAATGTCTTTGAAAAGATCCTGAGGATCTGATGAAGATGATGACATTATGATGACAGATGGAAGTTGTTTATAGAGCTAAAACTAAGTGTATCGTTTTTTCTTCCTCTCTTTGGTATCATAAATTATTTTTCCTCTTCCTTAATTCCTTCCTCATCGCGAAACAATTTTTTTTTTTTTTTTCAGTTTAGTTTTAAAGCAATTCTTTGATTGTTTCAATTATTACTAATTTAACTAGAATATCAAATACTACTTGTATCAATAATGTTTACATGTAACACGTGTAATTTACAGTTCCCAACAGCCGAAGACCAAAGGGGTCATATGAAGTCAGAATGGCATCGTTATAATTTGAAAAGAAGAGTTGCTCAATTACCTCCAATTGATGAAGATTTATTTAATAGTAAAGTTGCTAGTTTAACTAAAGCAGATGAAGAATCTTCAAAGGATAAGAAACAATTAACTAAAAAAGAACAAAGAAGAAAAGAAAAAGAAGCTATTTTACAACAAAAGAAACAGATTTTGGAACAAGCTAAAAAGGCAATGTTAGCTAAGATGAAAGAAAATGGTGGTGAATTGCCAGAGAAAGAAGAAGTCAAAGCTAAAGAAGAACCAAAAGAAGATAATACCCTAGTCGAATCACAACAACAACAACAACCGGAAGAGGAGAAAGAACTTACGGAAGAACAACAAGAAGAGAAAATTTTAAGTGAAAAACTTGCTAATAAAACAGAAATCCCTCCAACTACATGTTTATTTGCTCATCCTAAATATCATCATCAATTTGAAACTATTGATGAAAATATAGATCATATGTTTAAATCTCATGGATTATATATACCTGAATCAAATTATCTTGTGGATAAACAAGGACTTTTAGAATACTTGGGTGAAAAAATTGGATTTGGATTTTGTATTGCTTGTAATTATCAAGGAAGAACAGCTGAAGCAGCCAGAGAACATATGCAACAAAAGAGACATATGAGAATTCCATATGAAACTGAAGATGAAAAACTTGAAATATCTAAATTTTATGACTTTTCATCTACATATGATGATAATAAAATTGTTGTTGATGAAGATCAAGTCGGTAATGATGACGAAGACGAAGGAGAATGGGAAGATGTTAGTGGAGACGAAGACGTCAGTGGGGATGAAGATGAAGAACTTCCTCCAGCTGAAAATGATGCTATTTATCAACATGGTACTGAATTACATTTACCATCTGGTGCTATTATTGGACATCGTTCAATGGCAAGATATTATAGACAAAACTTGGCTCCTGAAAGAGAATTATCTGAAGGTCAAGGTACTGTTATTGCTGCTGAAACTAGACATATGATGACATTACAAGATAGAAAAGAAGTGGCTACTAAGAAAAGAACTTGGAAACGTGAGAAGAAGAGTGAGGATCTTAATGATAGAAGAGCTGCTAAATTCATTAATAACCAACCTCATTTCAGAGATCAATTGTTACAATAGATTACTAGATTTTGTTTAGTATTTATTTGCTAATTAGGTAGAATTAATACGTTTGTTTTATTCACATAATTAAATATATAATACTATCGTTGCGACTATGAGATCAACAACTATGTTTATAAATACAACCCAACTTCCAAAGAAAAGTAATTTTGGAGAGAATACAGTCCATATGAATAAATGAAATCTCAAATTAATACAAGATCCAACCAAGTTAACTGCTGAAATAGCATAGAAAAATAAGGTAATCAATCCTTTAATCAACAATATAGACTTTTTCAATCCTTTGAAATGAATCAAATCTGAAGTTGCTGGACCTTTAAAGCATAAAAGGCTTGGTTCAAAAAGTAATTGCAAATTTGATAAAGACCAAAAAATTGGGCCTGCAAAGTTAGAAATGAATGTGAGTAAACCAACAATAATCACATCATATGACTTGACACCGTTATATGCATTGGATAAATCAACAGTAGCCAACAGATTGGTATTACCCATACTAAAGAATGTTAAATTTTGAAAACAAAGAACCAACAAGGATGTAGATAAAATAAATTGATCTATGCGTGTAGTCTTTTGATACATTATTTTAGCAATGACAAATTTTGCAAGAAATAATACCAAAAATAAAGGAATATTCTCCTGTCTAGTTTGATTTAAAAGATAAATAGTGAAAATATTGGTTATATCTGTCAAAGTACCAAACTTGACTTTTCTGAATTTTCCAACAATTAAACGAAGAACAAATAAACCCAAAAGAACATATACTGTAAATCTTGATAATTGAATACTGACGTTTTGTAATTGAAATTTCAATTCATTATTATCACCAATGCTGGCATCTTCAAGATGGACATCATAGCTATCTAATACCCATAATAGCATCCAATTGAGCCATTTAGGAACGGAGTTTCCATCCATAAAGTGTTGTAACAATTTAAACAGGAATGAAACTGAAGTAACGACAAAAACAACAATAAATGAAATTAAAGCACCTGCATCCCTAGCATCAGGAATATTATTAGCTGATGAAAGAGCAAATGTAGATCCGAATCCACCTTGTGTATACATTGCAAGCGCAACAATGGCATATGTAAATATAATAAAAAACCACATCAAGTTAGGATTGGTGTGTAATAAATAATATGCAATGTTAAACTTGGATGAGTATTTTTGACCACTGTTATTCCATGCTTTAAGAATTCTTATACATGCAAATAACAAACCATAATGAAATAACGTTGAAAATTTTGAAAAGACGTCAAAGACGGTAATACCTAAGAATAAAAATGTTGCGGTAGTGAAAAAGTACCATATTTGATGTTCTTCCTCAATTAAAGAGGATCCATGAAAATGTAATGAATATAATATAACAAATAATTGGTAGAAAATAACCAACGGGATATTCATTCCTGGGATCGAGTAAAAGTATTTGTTGAACAAGACAATCACTGAAATCGACGTAATCAATAATATACCTGCACCAGCATAAATATCCTTGTATCCATAATCAGTAGCAGAAGAAGCCATGTCCTGTTGAACATTGTATAAAAAGTCATAATAATCATCTAAAGATTGTTGACTAGATAATAAATCTTCCCATTTTTCCCATACTTCCCCTTTTTGACCATGTTTGGCTTGGTACAAGTCCATAATTTGACGAGCATTTTCTAATATTATAGAACGTCTATTTGTTTCTGGCCAGATTTCTAAAATCTCTTTTGATACCACACCAAGAGAGTTTTTCGGTATTGGGAAATTCAACAAACTTGCGAGTGTTGGAACCAAATCTATTTGATTGATTTTATGGTAGTATGAATATTCTTCATCATTTGGTAAAGGAGCAGTGTTCTTATGACTAAATTTAGGAGAAATTAATGAAAGCCCAGCAGATGTTTCACCAACTGATGATCCACCATGGTTTCCAATTTCATTCATACCATGGTCACCCAAAAGAACAATTAAAGTATCATCATTTTTAGTAGTATATTTATATAATCTTTGTAATATGATATCCATTTCACTTTGTTTTGCTTTCATATAAACAGATCCCGGTCCTCCTTTATGTCCAATATGGTCCAATCCCAAATAATGTAAAATTAACCCATCCCAGTTGGCATCCGAGCTTAATTGTTGGTCCAAATGACGAGTCACATTATTGTCAACTTCAGTGAAATCACTTACAAAAAACGAAGTAGTTCCTTCAAATTCATCAAATTCCCCTGGGAATAATTTCAACCAAGTATCATCACCAAAGAAATTTATTGATCTATTATGTGATTGTTTAAATTGATAAACCCATGAATCCTGATTGAACAATCCTTGTGAATCATCTTTATCATCAGCAATATTTAAAATTGCATCTAAAAAATTTGGAGTTCCACCGGTCGTGATTCCTTTCAAACGTGGTAAAGTGACTGTTGGTGGGTTTGAATAAGCTGTAAATGGCAAGGCATGTCCTTGATTAATGAGTTGATGTAAGAAATCAAAGCTTGAATCTTCACTAAAGCAAAAATCTGATCTCATGGCATCAACAACCATCAATATGAATTTATTAAAATGAGGTTTATTATTAACAGGATTCAAGAATGGTGATTTGGTTGCATCTTCAAATGTACTAAACCCTGGAAGAACAATCTTTGATGGGAAGAACCCTCGGAGAAAGATTAACAATCCAACAAGATTAAGTAAAGTCAATGAGACTTGAATAACCCATTTTGATGCAAATGATTTATACATGGATTGTTTGGTGGTTATTATTGTTGTGGTGGTAGTGGTTGACGGAGTTGTTGGTGGTAAAACTGGGGTTTTTGTCTGACGTGAAAAATTATTCGACGGAGAAAGAAAACAACAACAAAAAAAAAAGTACACCTCCGAGTGGTGGTGGTGGTGGAGGTAGTGCATTCTATCAAAGAGTGCGGGTTGGCGAAATTGTGGATTAAAGAAGCAGCCAGCTAGTAAGAACATCAATCAAACTGTTGCAAAAAATATTGACTGTTACATATACTGTATTTCGGTAGAATGTGAGCTATCATTTTCGAGACAGTGGCATTGTAAAGCTGTTCTCTTGAAGAACGCAAGGTGGACTATTTCCTGGAATTTGGGACACCCGAATGAGGTAACTACCGGAAATTGTTTCTCTATACTTAATCCCCACATATATGCCAGGGATACATTGTTGTTGATATATACAGATAATGAACGGCTAAAATGTATGGAATCTAGATTGTTGGTTAGTTGGCGATTTCACTGAAGCAATGAGGATGTGTAAGCGCGCATTGAATTCCTCTTGCGTCCTTCCTAATTGAGTAACTGTCGAGATGCGCGGTCAAGATTTTCAAGCGGGAAACTAAAGCGAATGTTTAACTACTCAAGTCTTTCTTCAAGAGGAGAAATTTATGGACAAGGAAATTTCGAAACGCATGTTCTTATTTGATGATGATAATGAATAATAGTGATAAATAAATGAAGAAAGATAAAAAAAAAGGTCTCATAAAGGAAAACATTTGGTTGATATCATTAACTATTGTAAAACAGAGTACTACTGTCTTTTAGTGTGTGAAAAATTTTTCATCATCGATGAAAATTAATAAAATCATTACCAGCTAAGCGCCCCCAGATCCAATTTATCGTAGGTGAATGATTGGGTAGCACATCAATCAACGAGGGGTCGGGCGGTGTGCTAGTAACAAATGCATAAACAAACTCCACAAAAACATATCGAAAAAAAAAAAACAGTAGTGGGGGTTGATCTACAGATCAAGAATTCGCCCAAGCTGTTCTTGAATAATCTATGCACCAAATGAGGAGTTGGATGTTTTAGTTGATTAAAGTGATAGAATAGAATTCTAATCTGGAATATATGGTCATTCATGTGAACTATGGGTAATCAATAGCGCAATTCAAATGAGTTTATCTAGAGATGAATTTTTGCCCTATCGCGGAATTTTGGGTAAATGATAAATGAATTTTAGTGTAAGTTTCTTTTTTTGATTTTTGGGTTTTTTGGAACAAGTTCGTTATTTATTAGATTTTAGATTGTAGCAATAAAATTTATCAAAACCGATAAGAGTTATTGTTTGAATTATAAATACTCATCGATATTTCACTATTCACCATGATTTTTCATTCTGTTTTTTTTTTTCTTTTCTTTTATTTGTAATAGCAAATAACAAACTACCATCCCTTCTGTGAACCACAGCTTTATTTATAATATTATAATAAATGTTACTATGAATTCTGGAATTCAGTCACCTAAAGAAATTCATCCGATTGTATCGGAGGTCCATGTTGATGCCATGAACATTAAGAGTATTTTCTCCAACCAAGATATCACCATTAGAGTAGACCATGAAGTTAGTAATGATGAAGCACTTTTATTAGCCATGGGAATGAAACAAGAATTCAAAAGAGAAATGAGTGGATTTGCTGTTTTTGCAGTGGGGTTCTCTGTTTTGGGTTTACTTCCATCTATTGCTGCTTGTTTTGATTATCAACAACTTGTTATCGGTATGTCTCCATTACCTTGGATTGTCGCCATGGTTTTCATTACTTGTGTTGCTATGTCCATGGCAGAAATAGCTTCGGCGTTCCCTTGTTCGGCTGGTACACCATATGCTGTCTCACAATTAGCACCACCAAAATGGGCTCCATTCTTTACTTTCATGACCTCATGGCTGAACTGGTTATGTCAAGTTACTGCTTGTCCTAGTGTTTCGTATTCAGCAGCATGCATGATGTTGAGTTTACATTCTTTCAATGATCCAGGCTACTCTGCTACCAATGCACAAGTGTTTGGTTTATCGACAGCTATCCAGTTAGTGTGTATGGTTATGAGTGGTATGCCTACTAAATGGGTCGGTCGTTTTGGATCTCTTGGTACTATTTTGAATATGATTTTCTTGGTTATTGTTTTTGTGATGATCCTTGCTGGTAATAAACGTGATGAATTCTATGAAGGTGTCAGCAAATTCAATAGTAACTCAGTTGCCTGGCTGCTTGAAAATCAAACTCCATTTCCAACCGGTATTTCATTTCTCTTGTCATTTCTTGGTGTTATTTGGTCTATGTCTGGTTATGACCTGCCTTTCCATTTAAGTGAAGAATGTAAAAATGCTCCAGAAATTGTTCCAAAATCTATTTTCATGACAAGTATTTCTGGTGGTATAATTGGGTTTATATTTATGATTGCCGTTTCTTATACCTTGTACAGTATTGATGATATTATTGCTGATCCTCAAGGTTTGGGCCAACCATTTGTTACTTATCTCCTGCAAATTTTGGACAAGAAATTGGTTATTGCAGCTACTTCCTTGACTATTGTTTCATCCTTTTTTATGGCACAAAATTGTTTGCTTGCTTCACTGAGAGTCACTTTTGCTTATTCAAGAGATGGTTTATTCCCATTCTCAAATATTTGGAAGAGAGTTTCTCCAATAACAAAGACTCCATTATATGCCGTCTTGGTCAATTTTATTATTGGAGAATTATGTCTTTTGTTAATCTTTACTGATGATGAAGGTGTTGGTATTTCTGCTATTTTCTCAGTTGGTGCAATTGCTGGATTTGTTTCATTTACCACTCCAACATTATTTAAAATTACTTATTCCAGAAATACTTTTAAACCAGGACCATGGAAATTAGGCAAGTATTCACAACCAATTGGTTGGGTCTCCGTAGCATTTGTTACAGTTATGGTTCCTATCTTATGTTTCCCATGGAGTTCTGGTAAAGATTTATCAGCATCAAGTATGAACTGGACCTGTGTGGTATATTTCGGTCCTATGTTTGCAGCAGCTATCTGGTTTGCTATTAATGCTAGAAAATGGTATGTCGGTCCACGTAGTAACATTGATCCTGATGATATCGTTTATGGAGAAAAACTTGAAGATGGAAGTGAAATTCCTGATATTATCGATGGACAAAGAGTTAGTATATCTAGCACAGAAAAGAGGTAGTATAATACTGTTAGAGTTGACCCAATTTTAATCATGGGGTTCTTTTATTTATCTATTTATTCTTTTTGTTTAATTTATATATAGTTGATCTATTCTTTCAATGAATTTAGTTTACTTAATTGTGTATTTTTATTATTATTCATTTATTCTATTCTTTGTGTGAATTTATTGATGTTATCTTTGAAGAATACTACTCCTCACCTAATTTCTAAAATTTACAATGTACAACATCATTCTGATAGCGCTTCTGTTGGGGTATCTTGTATTGTTAGTAGCGCTTGGTAGTGCGGCATTGTATTGCCACAACGAGAAAGAAAGAAAGAAAAAAAAAACAACCAAGCGAAAATCAAAAACGAAAAAAAACAGAAGGTTTCAGGAAGCTTTTTACAACATAGAGGTTTTACATCCATCACAATTGATTATGCCAATGAACATAGAATCACAAAGAGGACAGCAATCGCGTCTGGACTATAGTTTAAGGCAAGATCATTTTGTCTACGACGATGACGAAATTCCTCCGCCTCCTCCTCCACTTCCACCAACTGATTCTCAACAAGAATTTGAAACAAACTATCTGCAATTTGACGATGAAATACCACCTCCACCTCCTCCTCCTCCTCCCCCTCCGCCGCCACCACAAGATGATGATATCCCTCCTCCACCACCTCCACTTCCAGTACAAGAAGATGAAATCCTATTGGATGAACCCCTTGCAGATGATAAATACACAGCAGAATCAGAATCTAGTCGACATCAACCATCTGAAACACACAAACAAGAGCAAAGACATAAAAAACAACGACAAAATCGAGAGCATGGTCATCATCCAAGAAAAAGACAAAGAAAGTTTCTCTATAACTCAGGTGAAGGCCTATTATTATGTTCATTCTATACTAAAGTCGGAGCATGCCGTCATTATGGTAGATGTACCAAGAGACATATAGATCCGACCGTATCTAATACAATAAAGATATCTAATCTTTATCCAAACCCACTAGCCAAATATGATTTTCCAGATGATGAAGATGAAAATTCTGAAGGAAGTGAAGTAGAAGAGGCAGACGCGGGTGTTGATGTTGATGTGAATGGTAACAAAGAATCTGCTTCTGGTGAAAAGACCGTCTCAAAACCTTCCAATTATGAACCTGAAGTACAACTAACTGAAGAAGAGATCCAAGAGAAATTTGATCTATTCTATAAAGATGTATTTACACATATTTCAAAGTTGGGTGAAATTAAGAATCTCGTAGTTTGTGAGAATGTGAACAATCATCTTAATGGGAATGTTTATGTTCAATTTGTAAGAACTCAAGAAGCCAGTGAAGCTAGCAAGCAGTTGAATTCAGAATGGTTTAATGAGAGACCTGTCTATAGTACATTGTCACCAGTAAGAGATTTTGAGGAGGCTTATTGTCATGAATATAGTGTTGGTGCTTGTGAGCATGGGGAAAGGTGTAATTATATGCATCTTAGATATCCAACACCTGACCTTGAACAAAAAATGTATAGATCTCAAGAGAAGAGCTATTTGATTAAAAGATTGGCTCGATTGAAAGAAGAACTTCCGAATGCTGCTAGTTTTGAAGCCAATGGTAGCACTAAAGCTGAAAAGGGTTCCGAAAAATCACAACAGGGTACTAAAGTATTACTTCAGCAATTATACTGACTCACTAATTGTAAACAAATTATAAATAGTAAATAGAAAGTGAGTTTTGTTTCTTAGACAACGAATAAAAATGTATATGACCAGTACAGCAAATCGATAATCATTTTCATCTGTAACTTAGGAATTGTATGTAAATACAAATAAACGTTGACAATGACAATGCGTGTACAAAAGCAAAAAAAAATAATAATAAAATAATACACACACACACACACATTGGGGTTGAATGTACGACGATAATCAGTTCCAACTTCGGATCCACAATCGCTCTAAGATGTACAACGAATACCAGGCGAGAATAAAGAAAAAAAAAAGAAGATTACACCGCCACCCAACTGGGGGGAGTTGGTAAGAGCAACAATACATTCTGGTCAATCATCTTGATTTGGTCTATTATTATTATTTAGTTGTTTTTATCTGATCCGATAAAACACGACATCATAAGAGAATATTAGTGAATGAATGAATGTGAAGTGCGAGAAACGATTTTAACCAAACAGAGAAAAAAAAATAAAAGAAAAACTGGAGAGAGTGAGAGAGAGTGAGAGAAATATTTTTTTTTCCTATTTCTTACTGCATTAATAACTAAAACATCTTTACCTTTGGTTTTCTTGAAAAGAGAGTTATTACTGCTTGATAGAATATTGGGCTCACATTATCATAACTGTGGTGTTAATTGGTGATAATATATTCCTACCAAAGAACCAACCAGCCATTACATGTCTTTACACCCAACCAAATCATTAGACCAAAAAAAATTAAAACCAAACCAATAACTGAGTAGGAATTAAATAAATACTTTTTTTTTTACTGAGAGAACAAAAGAGAAAAAAAGAAAAAGAAGAAATTTGGTGTGCTTCAAACAAATAAAAAGTTCTGCTGTTTTCTGTTTTTGATGATGAATTCTTTCAATCGTTCTTCTTATTCATATTCATCATTGGTTATATCATCAAGTCTAAAGAAAAGTCGTTGTAATTATCATTCATTGAGTTCAATAATATCTTACAATCTGAATCTCAATTCTCGTTGTATAACAAAACTAAAATTACAACCACGAAATCTTCACTTCGCACATAATTCCAATACCGCGAAAATATTCTCCAGCATCCAGACAACACGTCATTTGTCAACAACGACAAAAAAGCTAAAAATAAAAACAACACTAGCTATATTCACACGATCAATGTCCACATCCACCCCCTTAGCTGAAGAGAAGAATACTTCTTCTACTTCTTCATCTCATTCACATAGTCATTCAGATGCTGAAGGTCATCACACCCATTCCCATTCAGGGTCCGGTATGCTTCATCATCATAAACATTCAATGCATGAACCAAATGAACTTTTGGCAGCTGATGCATCTGCAATCAAATCAAACCCAGCTGTCAGAATTACCTGGATCGGGTTATTGGTCAATATTGCTTTGGCTATATCTAAAGGTATCGGTGGTGTTTATTTCCATTCTCAAGCCCTTGTTGCCGATGCAATTCATTCAGTGAGTGATATGCTTGCGGATTTTTTAACTTTAGCAACCGTTAATGTTGCCTCTAAAATAGGAACACCAACTAAATTCCCATTAGGTTATGGTAAACTTGAAACTATTGGGGCGTTTCTGGTTAGTGCAATCTTGTTATTTGCTGGTGTTTCTGTTGGTTGGTCTTCCTTGTTGCAAATTTTCGAATTTGTTTTACCAGCCCATCTTTATGAAATTGCATCACATATTCACATTGGCCATGATCATTCTCATACTGACTTAGGTAATGTTGGCGGAGGGCATTCTCATTCCCATGTCGATGGCGTTGGTGCTGATTTAACTGCCCATCGTGAAATTCCAAATATTAATGCTGCCTGGTTGGCTGGTGGATCCATCATTGCTAAAGAATTGTTGTATAGAAAAACTATGAAGATTGCTGTCCAAACCAATTCAAAAGTTTTGGTTGCTAATGCTTGGCATCATCGTGTTGATTCTTTAACTGCTGTTGTTGCTTTATTGACTGTTACTGGCGGTGTATTATTCAACGTTGCATGGTTAGATTCAATAGGTGGTATTGCTGTATCATTTTTAATTATTAAAGCTGGATGGGATTCTATGAAAGAAGCATGGTTTGAATTAATTGATCGTGGTGAAAAACCAGGCTCAGAATTGTACAATAAAGTTGAAGGAATTATTAAAAATGAATTGGAAATTAATAAAGATTTGGAACAATTTAGATTAAATCAATTGTCTGTTTTATCTTCTGGTGCCAATACTAATATTTATTGTAAACTCACCACAATCAATAAAGATATTAATTTGATTGCCTTGAATCAATATGAAAAGAAATTATCTGATTTAATTAGAGAAGACGATAGATTTGTTAGAAATATTTACATTAAATTCGAAAATGTTGCTGAACATCCGGAAGAAGAACACAACACTGAAGAAGAAAAAGATCACAAACATGAACACGAACATGTACATACTCATAAACATTAATAGACAATATAGTTGTTATATTTATAAGAGATGCAATAAAACTTTTCTATTAGTAGTACTAGTAGTATTCGATATTTATAATTATAAATATTTCATAACGATCTATTTACAGATTCAAAAACAACTTATATATACAATTGTGTTAAAATTGGTTGGTTGTTTCATGCTTATTTCTTGTTCTTTGATTTCTTAGAACTTTTGGATCCATTATTACCTTCAATGAATTTCAAAATTTCATCAACTGATTGATTAGCAATTTCTGGATTTGGTTGAGGTGGAGAATTTTGTTTCTTTGATCTCTTACCATTCTTAACACCTCCAGAAATAGAAGCAGTATTGGTGGTGGTGGTGGTGGCAGAAGCAGTTGGAACTTTAACTTTACCATGAGAATGATTATGACCATTTGATTTAGCTTTCTTTTGAGCTTCTTGTTGTTGTCTATTCATAAATTCAACATATAATGCCACACTTGAAATATATTTGGCAACTTGTTTAGTCATTGAATCATCAGGACCTAATAATTTAATGAAAATTTCATAAGCTTTATCATATGATTCTCTAGATTCTTTAAATTTATTCATACTAATAATAATATTAGCGATTCTAAAATAAATAAATCCAGAAACTTCTGAAATTTCTCCATTTAATGATTCAGTTAATCTTAAAGCTTCTTTTAATAATTCAATTGCTGAATCAAATGCTTTAATTTTCATTAATGATTCACCTAAATTAGTTAAAGTATTAATTAAAGTAGGATGATCTTTACCATAAATTTCAGACCAAATATTCATAGCTTGTTTATATAATTTAAATGAATTTAAATATTGTTCATTATTAGCTTCATAGAATGCAGCATTCATATAAGAAGTAATAGTTTCATGAGAATCAAATCCACATGATCTTTCAGATAAAATGATTGCTTTACGTCCAAGTAAAGCAGCTTCAACATTATGACCAACTTCTTGATATGCTTGAGCAACTAAATTATAAAATTTAGCTGTTTCTGGATTAACTCTACCATAAATAGATTCATTAATAGCAAGCAATTCATTAAATAAAGTAATACCCATTTCAGTATTACCTGAAACTAAATGAGATCTAGCAGTTGAGAAAATTTCTTCAACAACTGTACTTCTATAACTTGAATCTTTAATAAGTGGAATAAATGAAACAATATCATCAGCAACAAAGATTGAAGTACGTGGAATTGATTTTTCAGTAACCATAAAAGTGGAAGATTTCTTTTTAGATTTCTTGGATGAAGATTTGGTTTCAATGACTTGGATTTTAATTTGTTCATTTTGAGCATCAAATTGATCTTTAGTAAAGACATAATGAGATGATTTCCATTGAATACCATATTTAACAGCAATTTCTCTAAATAATGCAGGTAAACTGACAGATTCGGAGATCCAATTTTCTGGCAAAGTGAATCTGAAACGAATAAAAACTTGTTGAGAAAGCAATTGTAAGATATCTTTATGTTCAAGTTTAGTAAATTCCAATTCTGATTCAGAATAGAAGTTCTTATGTGGGATATCAACAGATGGAGTTTGATTAATGTCACCTCCCAATAAACAATTATGGAAATGAGCAACAACATAAGGAATCAAATAATCAGAAACATTCTTGGTTAAATCTCTCAAAACATGTTTAGAAGCTCTAGCAATCATTTCTTGAACAACAACTCTGTAAAGAGTGCTGTAACTAGCTAAAGATAATTGATAAGTAGCTTTAGTAGGAGTTTCTTCTTCTTCTTCTTCTTCTGATTTCACTTCCTTATCATCTTCCTTCTTTTCACCCTTTTCGGTATCTTCTTTAGCCTTTTCAGCTTCTTGTTTGGCCTTTTCTTCTTCTTCCTTTTGCTTCTTCTCGGCAGCAGCTTCGTTAGCTTTAATAAGTTCTTCAGTTTCAGCTAAAAATTGTTCTCTTCTAGAAATGATCTTATCAGCAATGAAACCCAAATATCTCATATTGATACCACTTCTGTGTAAAGTTTCAGTTAATTGTTTACCTTCGAATGGAATAGCTTGATCTTTAATTTCATCCAAAAATTCTTCAATTAATTTATCTTTAACAAATTTAGAAATTTCTCTAACTTCATCACGATCTTCATTGGATTCAAAATCATTTGAAAATGAATCAGGGTTAAAAACAACTTGATCTGTTGGAATAGCAATTTGTGGTTTTTCATCTCCTTCTTCTTTAGATAATTTACCTTCTTTTTCCAATTTTTCAGTTTCTTCTTTAAATAAAGCAGCAACTTTACGTCTCCACCATTCATTAACAGCTTCATGCCTAATTAATGCTTCACCATGAGGATATGAATTTTCACCTTCCAATTTGAAATTTTCTTCAATAAATTCAATATCACGTGGTGTGGTACGATATAAATCAATAACATATTTTCTACCATCAGTACCTTTCAAACCTTTAGTATCTTTAGAAACAACTAAAGATGATTGAGATTTGACTTCTTCATTTAATTGAACTTGATGAGGTTTTAAATGGAAAAGTTCTCCAATTTGTTTCAATGGTTCTTCAAATGATTTTTCTTCAAGAATTTTACTACCATCACTTGACAAACCATAAACAACTTTTTCAACTGGAGCTTCTTCTTCTTCTTCGTTGTTGACACCTTCAACAGCAACAGTGTTGTCTAAAATACCTGGAACTGGAGCTTGACAAACGATTCTTTTACCCATGTAATCAACAATACAAGTAACCAAACTTGAAATACCTCTAACATCATGACGATTAATTAACTTGATAGCTGATAAATCTTTAGAAGAAACATATCTTGCAGCTTCTTCACCACCAGTAGATTCAAATCCATCAACAGTAGAAGTACCAGTAGAATAGAAAATACCATTCTTCAAATAGATATATTTATCAGTACTTTCATCTGGATTCAATGGAGTTAAATTACCCTTGATGATATTAATAGCAGTTTCAGTGGCGGTTTTATTGAATTCAAATAATGATTTTTGAATCAATTTATCACGAATAATACGTTCTTGAATAGTGGTAGCTGGTAATTCTTTGATTGATTGAATATCATTATTCCATTCCTTGATATAGTCAGACCCATCAACACCATTAGTGATAGTAGGCAATTGAGATCTAGACAAATCTGGAATATTCTTACAATTAGATTCATCGACTAACCATGGATAGGCTGGGAATGAATTACCTGGTAATAAATAAGTTTCTGGATAAGCAGTAGATTCAGATAATTTAACTTCGTTTTCAATAGAAGTTTTACTGAATAATGGAGATAATTGAGAAACTAAATCATATAATAAATAAGATTCATAAAATTTACCTTTTTCATTAACTTTCATTTCTGGATTAAAATTAATAGTTGATGATTTGTTTACAAAAAAACCGGTAAAATGACAAGTAATGTTAAAAGTTTCATGTTCTAAAGTTTGTAATGATAAATATAATAAATCACCTTTAGATTGTTGGAATGCTGGAACTGGAGACCATTGAGAAATAGTTAAAGATTTGATTGGAATCTTGACTTTATCATTAACATCATCAAATTTAGTAATGGATTTGAAATCACCATTAAATGAATCAGTAGTAAAATTTTTAGCAAATTCAGTAATTTTAGAAACTTCTTCTTGAGAAATAGAAACTTCATTTTCTTTAGTTTCTTTTTCTTCTTCACGTTCTTTCTTTGGTTCTTCTTTCTTTTCTTCTTTAGCTTTAACGTCATCCAATTCAATACCATTGAATCTAGAAACACCACCAGAAGTTCCAACATCAGTTGAAAGTCTATCGACATAATGTAAACCAATAACTTCTCTAAATCTAGTAATTTGTTCATAAACAGTAGCTAAATTATAAGCTTTTTCTCTAAGAACGATTTTAATTTCGTCAACATCACCCAATTCCAAAGCTTCAATAATTTGTTCAAAAGTAATCATATCTCCGAAATTTTCAATAATATCAATACCTTTAATCAAGATTGAATAATTGGTCAAGTTTCTAGTAACAACGACTAAATTCAAAGCTTGTTTCAAATCAGCAATATTTTCTTCAACATTTGAAGGAACAACTAATTCTTCTTTAGCATTGAAAAATTCTGGTAATTGAATTTTCAACAAAAGCTCCTTAACAGGAACTGGTTGTTGTTGTTGTTCAGTAGTTTCTTCAATTTTGTCTTCTGATGACATGATTGTAGAATCCACAGTGAATATATATATACAAGGTAAAATGTGGAGTTCACAACAATAGTTATGGTTAGATAAAAAAAACAGAAAAAGGAAAGAAAAGAAAAGAAAAACTTGGGGTTGAGTTGGTTATATTTCAACCGACGAAAAATTTTTTTTTTCAACTTACTCGAAGTGGGCGTGTGTGACTCGATTCCAAGATTCGTTCTTTTTTTTTTCGTTGGGACTTTTTTTTGGCTCCGAATTGGTAACAAAAATGGGGAGATAACATATGGGTTATTTGATGTTTGTACAAATGACTGAAGGTGATGTCACCTACCACTATTATAGTCAGTATAATATGATTATGAGTTTATGTATTTCTTGTAGTAGTATTTAGAACTTAGAGTAGCTTGTGGTAGTAATTTCTTCACAAATTTGCAGCAATTCTCATCCAAAAAAAAAATCGTGTCCAGCATAAGATCTCTCCTAACAAGACACATTTACAAACAATAACTCGATGAATAATCATTTCATCATTCTTAGAGCGCAGCAATATTACAATTAGCTTATTGTCACATACAGCAAACCAACGTGGTTTAAAACCATTCACCATTAGTACACGTCTTTTGCCACATTTCTCTTTTTAATGTTCTCACGTGCCCCACGCACGCCCTCAAGGAACAAAGGAAAAAAAAAAAAAATAATCTGGTGTGTTCCATTTCATAGTATAAATTTGTCATCGCTTACATCTGGATAGTTATTACTTTCTCCTTACTGGCAAATCAACCTGTCATTCAGTCATTCATTCATTTTCCAATAAAAATGTCACAACAGACTACGATGAGACATGATGAGGATAATGCTTTGGTCTCAAATGAACAGGATTCATTAGGTAATACTATTGTTAATCCTTCATCATCATCGTGTTCAACTGATCTGTCTCATTTACCAAAATCAACCATTCATGATTTCCCACCAGAATTACTAATTCGAATATTTACTTATTTGGATCCTATTTACTTAAATACTTTAAGATTAGTTTGTAAACAATGGAATCATACTATTAGTGATCGTGAAGTTTGGATGAAATCATTTCAAATGAGTTTTAATATGTCAATAAATTCCCTGAGTTTCCCAACTATTAGTCAATCACTGAATTGGCTTCGTGAATATTTTACAAGATTACAAGTGCTTAAAAATTGGAAAAAAGGAAATTCCATGCATAAAATGTATCAGATCTTGAATAATGAATTTAGATTTAATGATTGCACTAAAGTTGATTTCAATATGAATAAAATTTTGATATATAATACTAAATTTAATAGTATATCAATGGGGAATTTATCTGATGGAAGAAATCAAAGTTTCATACCAGGAAATAGTAATATGCCTCAATTAGATATCTTGTGTTTTGATATAAATTGGAAATATCTAGTTACGGGATTAAGAAACGGAGAGATTTATTTAAAGAATTTAAATACTTCAACTTCAGTTTCTCAAAGATCCAGTACTTTGAGATTTGGTGCCGATAATGATAATGATAATTCAGCAATTACAAGTATGTTAATGAACAATGATATTGTGATTAGTGGATCTCATGGAGGATACTTGCGTGTTTGGAATTTACAAGGGAGTTTATTAAAAGAGATTAAATTGGAAGAGATGATTTTAAACATTTCTAGTGATTTTAGAAAGTATATTGTTGTTAATACTAGAAATCATATATTTATCATAGATTATGCAACAAGTGAAATTTTATCCACTAAAGAAATGGGTTTTGATATGAATGAGTTTGAACCGGACATGGTTTTGTATGATTATGTGACTAAATGGAAGAATGCGTTAGATGTTGATTATGGGTCTCAGAAGATTATCATTTGTTATGATTCATTTATTAGAGTTTTTAATTTCTTTGATGATTTGGTTCAAAAGGAGTTGAATTTGGCTAATGATGTGAAAATACTTGAATCCAGATTTCAAGTTACCACCAGTCAGAAACTTTTAAATAGAAATACAAATTTGGTTGGTCAAGACGGATTGTTGTATGGTAATTTGTTGACTGATGGAAGTATAATCGTATGGAATGTACGTGATGAATCAAGGGACATTGTACCAACTATTCGAATTTATCCTGAGTTGAATCACAAGAAATATTCTAATGAAATTAATCATGCAATTGCCAGGGCTGGACATTCAGGGGTAACATCGTTCAATTTAAATGGGTCAGTTCTTGTTGTTGGTGGGTTCAATGGTTTAACAAATGTGTATGATATTTTCACCGGGAAATTCCTCAGAGAAGTTTCAATCAAATTTCTGAATAAATTTGCCCACATGCAACATTCCTTAGTTCCAATAACAACTATAGAATTAAATCCAAATCAATTGGACAACAACGGAGCTATTATATGTGGAGATACAGTGCAATATTTCGAGTTTGGAGAAATTACAGGGTTGAGACAAAAAGGGAGTGGACAACGGTTGCAAAAACAAGTCAACAATGGAAGTAATAATAAAAATGAGCATAAAAAGAAGATACGAGATGAAATGGATGATTATCATCTTCAAATCCATCAACGTAATAAAACAAATGAGATGTTAGATAAGTATAATGGGACTGCTTATGAAGATGAAGACGAAGAGTATATGATGGCATTGGCTATTAGTGAAAGTTATCATAGTAGTCGAGAAATGAGTATAAATGGATCGTCATCACTGCCTGAATTTTATGATCCTGGTATCACCAGTGGAGGTGGATTTGATGAAGAAGAAATGGATGAAGAATTGAGAAGAGCATTGGAACTATCGTTAATAGAACATTAAATGAACTGTATATGAATTTAATAAATAAAGTAGGAAGACTACATTGGTGAAGCCAACAAATACTATGCGACTGTGTTTGTGATTGGTTGCAAGATTGGGGATCGACCATTGCTGCCTGTCTATTTTTGTGATGACGGGAGCAGATAACCGTTATTTTATTCCACAGTTATGTGCAGGAAATGCGAGATGGGGAGCCAGTAAGCTGCCTTATTATTATGCACTTCTCAAATTCCGTAAATTGGTGCATTCTGATTGGCCGGACAGAGAGAAAAACGGAGATGTGAAAATTTTGAGAATAATAAATAATAATAAACATTTTTTTTTTAAACCCCGTATTCCGTGTAGGATTATTTACACACAGCCAATAACCGTGACACACCATCACAGGAAGATGACAACAATGGTCAAAGAGGTGGCAAATGAATTTTGCTGTGTGTTGTAAGAATTCTCCACCAAGTTGAGTTCAATTGGGAGGAGGGTTGAGTTGATTATCATTCAGCACAAAAGAGCTTCTTGTGTATTGTGTATTTAGCAATGACCTTTAAAGTGCCATGGAGTCTGAAATTGCAAACGAAAATGAAATGAAACAAAAATTATTGTGCAGTGCATTTTCGTATAACACTCACAGATCTCTCTCTCTCTATTAGCAATTTTTTGGTTGTCTCTGTTTTTTCTCTCACTTTAAATAATTTTTTAAACAGAAAAGAAAATTTTCCCTTTTTTTCATTACTTTGGCAACAACTACAACAGAGACAACCCTTTATTCAAACCTCATCTTCTGTTACTCTTCTACAAGCTGACCAACCAACAAGAGGAGATAAGCAGGGTTACCTTATTTGCTTTTAATTATTCATAGTAGTTACTATACATTCATTCTTTTTCTAATTATTACATTCAGATCAATTCATTCTTATTTTTTTTTCATGTCTTTAGAAATATAACCAACCAAAGAAGAAAGACTACACTTACATCAATAGAATATATTATTTACAACAATATCAAACATGGTGTTTCAATCTTTTATACGCTTTGCAAAATTCAATTCTTCTTCATCTTCCAAATCGGAATTTAAACAACATTTTTTCAAAAGCTCATACCCGTATTTAAGTAAACATCATGCTGCTAGATTTTCATTGAAAAATTACAACAAAGACCATTATGAATCAAAATGGTGGTTTAAAAGACAAAGAAACACTTCAAATAGATCCGGATCATTTTTGTCAATTTCTGACGGTCATTATGGATTATATTATTCCATGTATAATCATGATGCTGAAAGAAGAAGACAACAAAGGGACTATGAAAAATACATTAGGCACATAATATTAAAACATTTGGAAACTAGAGATAGATTGATGAGCCTCAAGCAACAAGATAATTATCATCATTACCTGCATTTTGCCAATTACTACTTTACTGGCGAACACCGCCATCATCACAAGAATCACCATCATAATTATAGAAGACATAATCGTAGAAAATATCATAGAGGCTGTCCTGCTCATGGTTTCCATTTCAAACTCCTTTTGATTGGATTCACCGCTAAATTTTTAATTTCAAAAGCTTATTTAGATAATCAGATCAACATTGAGAATATTAAGAAGTTTTCTTCCAGATTATTTGCATCACTTTCATTTAAACCAAGTTATTATTTCTTAGGCTCAACTGCAGCCGGTGCAACCGTGGCAGCTGGTACTACTGCTGTTGCTGAAGCTCATCTGACTCCAATTACACAACCATCTACATTCGTTGGGCTTGGTTCATCAAGTCAAACTTCCCCATCGACACTTCAACCAGCTGCTCATATTTTTTCCACAGTTCTTGCGGCTAGAGCATTTTCTACATCGACCAAAAAACCAAAACAACAGTCGACCAACGTACCCGAAGTTGCAGTTGAAGAGCCAGCTGCTCAAAAAGTTGATACTTTTGAAGTTGACTTTTTGGCAACTCAAGTTTCAAATATCACATCTGCATTCGATAATCATAAATGCCCTGAGGATTTGAATATAATCTACCCATTATACCAAGCAGTCAAGAGAAATGATTTGACTTTACCTAGTATTGATTTATACAACATTGTCTTGAAATCAATCTTGCAACGTAGCTTGAATAATACAGAGTTGGAATTGAGTGCAATTGAAGAAAGATTGACTACTTTATTGACAGTATACCAGGATATTCTTAGTATTGGTTTGAAACCAAACAAAGAAACTTACAATTTGATTGTTAATGCATTATTAGATGGTAGCTTGCAATGTTTAGAATTACCAACAGATAACAGCTTGCAATATGCTGAAGTTTTCCCTAAGTCACAAGAATTTGCACAAATTTGCATTGAATTATTCAATTCAATTTCAAATCAATTAGACTTGAAGGTGTTATTATCAAAATTGATTAAACTTTTGAGTAACTATCCACAATTGGTTACAGGTAAAATTATCCAACCATTTATTTCCATTATCCAAGAAAGCCAACTTGAAAGTAAAGAGTCGTGTTTGTTGGTTCTTGAATTGTCAAAATATTTCGATCAGTTTGCTGTATTGAACAATAAAGAAGCATTTAAAATCATAGAATCAGCCTACCACCAGTATAAACAATTCCCTGATATTGATCCATTTTCTGCATATGAAAAGGTTATTGTATCTTTGATTAATAACAACTTTGCCAAGAGAGCCGGCCAATTATTGGATGAGATTTTGATGGACTACAAAGAATCATTGCAATTTAGAAACAGACCAACCAAAAAACAAGTTGGTGATTTGATTGCTGCATTCATCGAATCTTATGTTATCAAATCAAATGATTTAAATAAGGGGTATGAATTATTGATGAAATTCAATTCTGTTGCTTATTTACCAGAATTACCAGTTACTTTCTACAATTTCATGATTATTGAATTAGCTAAAAAGAACATGGTCGAAGAAATGTGGCAGTTGTATAATCGAATTGTTGTTAGAAGTGATTTCCAAACTACTCCATCTATGACATTTGTCAAAGAACATGGAATGTCATGTCGTGATTTATTACTTTCCTTAAGTATTGACAGTGGCGACCATGAACGTACATTCCAATTGCTTAAAGAAATTCTTGTCAAGGAACATTTGATTGCTGATTTGGGTAGTTTGCAAAAAACTTTCCATTACTTGTACAACGCAGTTGTTGCCAACCAAATGGATGAAGATGAATACTTTAACCAATATTATTTTGGATTGTTATGGCAATTGATGGAATCACAAGCACTTCATTATCAAACATCAACAGATATTAATGATTTTATTTCTCGTTTTGTTCCATTTCTTACAGTTAATGCACCAGTTGAATTGCAAGCGGATTTACGTGCGCAAGTTGCTGTTACCAGTTACAATGTTAACTTGTTGCTCAGTAGTCCATTTGTTTTGAGAGCTGTGGAAACTTTTGATGTGCAAACTGATAACGTCTATGGTTTGACTGTAGTTATGGCACATTTGATGAGATTGAATGAAACATTTGGTGTTCAACTGGATCTTTACAAGAGAGTTGCTGAATTTGAATCGATTTTAATTGAAAAATTTGAAGATCCTGATAATTTTTATGTTGAATTAACTCCAGAGATGACTGACTTTGTCAATATGCTTAAACATGACCGTGATTCAAGAGTTTCGAAAATTGCTAATGTTACAGAAGAAATTTCGACAGAATGTGAATCTGACTTGAGTGGGTTATTACAACTTAGTTTTGAAAAAGGTATCAGCAGATTTGTAGATGCATATGCTCAAGGTTCAAAATTTACTTTCAAAACTTGGAATTCTGTTGTTAATTATGAATTTTTAGAAAGCTATATATCCCAATTTGATTTGCAAGAATTCTTACAAAGAATGTGGATGACTAAATGTACTGACGAAGAGAAGATTGGTTTGTTAAACCGATTACTTGAATACAAGATGGGTAATATTGTTCATGAAGTTGGTATTTTTATCAAGGATAATAAAATTTATGATGAGAAATTGTTGGTCAACTTGTTTGATACCTGTTTGTTGCTTGATGATCAATCTATCAATGATTACTTTCTTCAAGAAGGAGTATTCAAAGATATTTATAGTCTCAATAATCAAGAATCATGGATCGCTTCATATTTAGAATACTTGATGGGAATTAAAAAGTTTCACGAAGTATCTAATGTAATTGATTCTTTAGATGGTGAAATTTCCAGCAAATTGGGATTGATGTTATTAGAAGCAGATTTGGAATTTGATTTGGAAAAGTTCAAATTTGATCGTAAGAGGTTGTTATTAGAGCCTTCGACTAAATTAGCAGAATTGGATTTCAGATATGAATTAAAGAAAGGTGATTCTGCTATCGAAGAACTTTCAAGAAAGTATTCCAAGTTTGGTGAAAATGGATCTATTAGAGTTCAAGAGTTACTTTCATTTGTTCAGTTTTTAAAGGCCGCTAAAGGTGATTCAGTTGAACCATATCAATATGATAATTTCAAATCAATTAATCTTTTGGCCACTTCTTTATTATCGTGTCGTGATTTGAATGAAATGCACAAAGTTGCTACATCAGCCAAAGAGTTTAATGCACAGGAGTTATTTGGAGAAATGATTTTGGTAATGACAAGATCAGTTGATTATGTTGAACCAGATGTTAATCAATTGATGAACAAATTCTTTGCTACCATTAAGTTGTGCAAATATTTACGAATTGGATCTGTTTCAAGTGAGAATTTTTTGCACATCATTAGATTTTTAAGCAAGATTAAATCAGATCTTTTGGTTGTTATCTTGAATCGTTTTATCATGAATGGTGAGTTTGCAGATGTTGTTAATTTTTATTTTATGGAAGTTCAAGTTTTTGACTTCAGTGAGAAATTAGAAATATTGAAAGAGTTATACTATGGAATGAAGCATTCAAATAATTATGTTAACGTTGCAATGATTGACGACTTTTGTAATACCAATGGTATTAAGTTCTAAGGAATAATGCATTTTTTTTAATTTTATTTTATTTTATTTTATTTTAATTTTACCATAACTGGGTTGTTTCGGTATATTATTTATTTTTACTTATTTATTAATTTTACATGAAAGGCATATGTTTTTTTTAGGAGAGAGGTTTAGTTAAGACGGATAGGATGGATTTTTTATTACAATTAATTATCATGTTAATTAATTTTTGTTAATTTTTATTTTAGATATTTAATGAATGAATAAATAATTTTTAATGAAATACCATTTAAGGTTGCGTAGAGTTATTCCGATTATGGACATTTGTTAAGGGATAAAAGAGAGAAAATAATGATCCAGTTCTATTGCACAATTGGAATACGTTATGTACTCTTTTATCTTGTTAGATTTCATTGATAATAATGATGATGATACTACTACTACTACTAATGATGATGATGTCATTTGATTTTTATTTTTTTACTGGTTAATAATTCCCAATAATTAATCACAATTTAAGGTTTTGCAACAATTTACTAAAAAAAAAAAAAAGAAAACAGAACTTCGACAGCCGTGCACGACTTCCCTAATATTTATACATAAAGCGCAAAATTCAGTTTATTACTCCATGAATACTAATCTGGTATCTAAAGAAAAAGAAGAGACTCTCAATTGGATTCAATGAATTAATTCAACTGATGGCTAATTATTATTTTTGTCGAATTGTAATTGACTTGGAAAAACCCGAAAGAAGAGGATACTCCTAAGGTTCAATAACTATAGTATGTAATGTTTCAATATGGAATTCTCAAAAATAAAAAAAACAATAAAATGACGATAAATTTCTAATGAATAGTTTAATATATGTGTCTTGAATGAAAATGTAAAATATTCTAATGAAATAGTTCTATTATTTTTCAATGGATTTCAATGAAGAAATTCACTCTTTGGAAAAAAAATAAAAAGTTAAATGAAATATGGTTATTTATGTTCTTCCTTCCTCCTATTTTCTTGGAATAAACATGGGGTTTTTGTATTTTATGTTTGATCAGGTATTGAAGTGAATATATCTTACAGATAAGTTGATTATGAAAAGACTACATGAATTCGGAATCAAAATCATTGTAAAATACCATTTAAATCAGTAGATGATCCGATATTTACATGTTAGTAATAACAATTGAACACTACAAGGCAAGTTGTTTAAAAACAACAAGGAAAAATCAAAAACTATCAAGAATCGCAGGAACACTTTAGAAAAACACAATACATTTTCTCATCGGTGAACTAAAAATCATCCGTCATTATTTAAAGTTTTCTGTACCTATCATATGCTCTTTCAATAATTGACTCCTTTATTATCATGACCAGTCGTGATGGGGGGGGGGTGTCATATTGATAAAACAGCTTTACTTTTTCAAAAATATACTTTTTATTGAATGTCATTTTTAAAATTAAACGATCATTAATTTAAGATCACGTGAATTAGCGGAGATGGAGGATATTAAACGCTGCATCAATTTATATTGGCAGGTTACATTTAATTGATGGAGAAATGTGGGGAACAGGAGAGGATCAAAAAAAAAATACTAATTGCGTTAATAATCGACTCAAAGAAATATTACAATCATCGTTTTTGCATCCTTTAGAAAAGCTAGTGGTTATTACAATAATATTTTTTATTTTAGTCTGTGGTGATAGAAAATATCCGGATAATGATTACATCATATGATTATCACCAGTAGAAAGACACATGAGCCCTCTGAATGATTTTTTTTCCCTATTATTCTCTATTTGTTATAACTTGTATCGTCTATTTTGAGAATAAACAAATTTGAACGATGTAAAAGATGAAACACCCGACAAAACTAGGAACTTTTAATAATGGATTGATACCTTAACAGATTGTATAAACAATACCAACCCAAGTAAACTTTAATAGATTAAAGGAAGAATTCCCCCCGTTGTTCCTATTTTTGGCATTCATTGGAAAATTAAACCCAAGAAGAAAAATAAAGGTACTCCCCTCTGTCCATTCCATTCCATCCCATTCACAATAGACTGTGGTTTTTTTTTTCTTAGTCTATATTTCGTCTGTTTACGGTGGGGGGAATTTTTTGCGCCCTTGGTGAATGCACGACGCGCTATTTTTATACAAAATCAGCCAAAAACTTTAATTGTTGCAAAATAAAAAATAATAATATTAATAACGAATAAACATCATGAAATTAATTTTGGTTCATCTGATTTTTAACAATTGGAGAATATTGCAAAAGTGGGAATCATGGAAACATAGAGAGAAAAAAAACCTAATTTTGCCTTTAGTAGTATTGAACTAATAATATGTACACGGCTATTCTTATTATCGTTAATCATAATGTCCATAAACACACTTCGGAAAAAAATACTATATAAAGAGGTATAAATTCCAATTTGAATTGATGTTTTTTTTATTATTCATTACAATATAGTTTTTTACAACTACAAAATTATAACAACAATATACAAATTTTAATTAACAACAAACAATGAGATTCTCCTACATTTTAGCTTCTGGTTTATTTGCTTTATCCACACAAGCTGCAGCTATTCAACCTGAAGAAGTTGAAAAAAGAGCTGCTGTTGGTGTTGCTGCTCATATTGCTACTGATATCTTACATTTAGTTGGTTTAGCCGTAGGTGTTGATGTTAATATTAGATTCAAGAGAGAAGATGTTGAAAAAAGAGCTGATGAAGAAGTTGTTAATGCTTTAGCTGCTGATATTGTCAAATTATCTGGACTTGAATCAGCTTCTGATGCAACTAATGCTTTAGCTGTTGACATCTTACGTTTGTCCGGCCTTGATGCTACTACTGCTGCAGCTGAAAAAAGAGAAGAAATCTCTGTAGCAAAGAGAGGTCTTGTTAATGTGTCCAGTGCTCTTTGTCTTAATATCTTGCAATTAATTGGTCTTTCAATTGGTGTTAACGTTAATGTTGGTAAAAGAGATACCGTTGATGTCAACTCTGATGAAGTTGTTGATGTTTTGAAATTGATTCAATCTCAATTAACTGCTGAATCTGCTGAAAAATTAAAAAGGAGAGGTATTGATATTAGTCAATTAGCTCAAGATCTTCCAATTATTGCTTCTGGTGTTATCACTGCCGTTGATGCTATTGCTGACGGTGCTCTTGCCGCTTTGGTTTAAATCTGAATTGATTTGATCATTTAGAAAAACATTTGAATTTATATTTCCATTTTATGTTTATCGGTTTTTTTTTTCTTATCCCACGGTTCTGGGTCTTCTTTTCGTTCGTGGATATAATGTCTCCACTGATTAAATAATTAACTGAAGTTTCCATATAACATTTCAATACGTTTTTTATATATGTATATTCTTAGATAAATACAAAAAGTTATTTTAGAACATCAGAAAACACATGTGACTCTACACTTTACTCTTTTACAACAATTTTTATGTACTTTTCTATTGTTTTTATTTGAAAAGAAAATAAATCTATAAATTACACAGGTATTAGATCATCAATCATCATTTAGGATCATCTCCTGCTTCTTCAACAGGTGGAGGGGTATATTTAGTTCTTGATCCACCAGTGTGCCAAATCTTACTTAAAAAATCATACATTCTGGTTGATTCATCGTCAAATTCAAAATAATGTCCAATATCAAAATCTTTATCTGGAGAATAACTTTCAATTTGATCATAAGCGCAATAATAATATCCAAAACAAATAGAATTTTTAACCCATCCTTTCTGTGGTCCCCATTCAGTTATAAACTGATAACGTTCTTCATCATTTGGCAATTTTTCATTAATTTCATCAATATCTTTCTTTCTTTGTTTCCAAGATTTAATAATTTCCAATTCTGATGTTGGATCAGGTGGACTTCCGGGTTCTCTAAGTTTTGGTAAATCAGGTGGAATCACGGCTGATCTTATTTTCAATGGAGAATTAAATAAACTTAATAATTCTTTTTGTTCAAATACTGAAAATGGAAATTTAACTCGATCTCTATAATATCCATTTTTTTTACAATAACTAAATCCAGAATTTATCCATAATAATTTCCCTTCTTCATTGATATGACCAGGATGAGTTGAACAAAGTTCATTGCTTTGACTATTTGGATAATATTTCCTTTTTTCATCTGTTGTTCTTTCACCTACTGAAGCTGCTGAATATTCATTAAATTCATAATTTTCATCAGCTGCACAAGATAATGATGACCAAAATAAATCTTTATCTCCCCAAACACTACTATTAATAGGTTCTGTCCAAAGACACAATGGGAACATTAGTAATAGTCCCAAATAATGCTGTTTTTTATTATATGCAACAACACCAGCTTCTTGATGATGTCTCCATCCAGTCATATATCTATTACCTAATGTTTTCTCTGTTATTCTGGGAATATCAAATAACGTCTCAATTGAAATTTCATTACTTGGAAATAAAGTTGTGAAAAAATTAGTTTCAATATAATCATTATGATCTCTTAATGAACGATCTTTGAAGAAATAAGTGCCTGATTTTTTGTATTGCTTAGAATTGAAAAATTCTTCAGGTGGAACTAATGGAACAACATCTGCATCAAGCAATATTAATTCTTCGAAACTTGTAAATAACATAGCTAATATTTTATTTGAATACCCCGTAAATGACCATTTATATCCTTTCGATACACAATTAATAATATTAACGAATGTTAAATCTTGTTTAGGAAATTCTGATCCATATTCTTTATATTGTTCCAATAATTGTAACTCTGGCATAAAATTCTTATGTTCTTGTGTAATTGAAGGATGTAGTAATTCTTCAGGTGTGGCTATTGCTGCATCTTCAATAGCTGTCATTGCTTTCTTGCTAATATCATTTTTATAAAGAATTTGAATTGGAAGTTTATTATTCAAAGCTCGAAGAACTTTAATTAATCTAGAAACATCTTTTGAATGTCTCGTTGATACGGAAATCACAATCCCACGTCCTTTAACATTCTTATTAAGGAAATCAATCGGATTCTCTGTTAAATCGTCTTTCCTTTCAATTATATTACTATTATCATCATATACTGGCCATCCATAATCTTCAATTTCTCCAGCTTTTCTAAATCTAGGTGATACTTCATTCATAAATGGGAAAATTCTCTTTGTAAAATCTTTATATAATGTATTTAATTGATCATTAAGTTTATTTTCTTTCCCAATAAAACATTTACCATATAAACGTATTAAAGTAGTTGTATCTGCCATTTTTTGTAAGATTTCTTTTGATTTTCGTACACTTTCTTTAAATCTTTTAGATATTGTTATATTCATCAGTCTATCTAATTCGAATTTTCTATTAGGGAAAGATTTTTCAAATTTCTTTCGTATTTCATCAATTCTATCTTTGAAAAATTCATCTTTTTTATCTGATGATTTATCATATCTTTCATCTCTATGATTCCAGGTACGAAATCTCCAATCAGGATTAAATTTATTCCATTGATTAAATATAATTTCACATTTTTCATTAATTGGTAATTGTTTAATTTTATCAAGATCGGTAAATTCTTTAGTGAAATTGTTATATCCACTAAATAAATAATTGGAATAATGAATATCTTGTTTAATTCTTAAATTATCTTGCTTAAGACTTTCAAGATCAAATTTTTCAGTATCAAATAATAAATCTCGAATTTGTACTAGATCTACTAATTGTAAAGAAAAGTACCCCACTATTAGTAAAGTAATGAAAAATATACTCAATAAACATTTTTTCAACGTCAACCTCATAATGGTAATACTGGTTCAAGTACAGTGGAAGATATTCAGATCTAACAAGTGTGATCTTTTTCTTTTTCTTCTTCTTCTTCTTCTTGATGTTATATATATATATATAAATAAATAAAAAAGATGGCGTTGAAAATTGAATGTTGATCAAAGGAAAGGATGGAAAAAACTCGGCTTAAGCTAAAAATAATTAAAACAAAAAAGCAAAGAAAAATCTAAAATGAAAAATCCACGTAACCAATATGTTTAGGTGTTGGTGTTGAATTAAGCCTTGTTTCTAGGTACCACGTGATCTAGTAATTAAAAGTTGAAATTGATTATCCATCTATGGTAAAATACACACTCGAAGTTATTTTAACATTCTGCAAAAAAAAAATAAAACAAATCAGGTTGAGTATTATTTTCTATGACTTTAAATTCAGGGTCAATGAAATTGTTAAACAAAATCAAAAAAAAAAATTCTGTTTGTTCGTTGGTTGATATCTCCGATGATGTAAGGTCCGGAAAATTGGAATTTTATTCCTTCACCGGAATTATCTTTTTTTTTTTTTTTCATTCCTACTCCCTGAAATAAACCTTATTTTCATATGATTTATCCGATCAATTATCAACAAGATACTACTACTTGTCATATACCATGTCAATTAAAATGCAAATCCAGGGGTTGAAATAATTATGACACAAGTGTTAAAGTGATACATAAAACGACACAAAAATGACAAGCCTATAGGCAAGAATCAAGCAACGAAATTCATTTATGATTACCAATTTGAATGTTATAATGACAAACCAGGAGGTGATTGCAATCAAATAGACTATTACACAATATTAGACACATCGTTATGCTGGACCATATAGCGTTTCATACAACTGGATTATTAAATGGGGAATTTATATTATTACTATATAGTTGTGTATGTTGTTCCCTGTTTAACGAGCTTTACCTTCACCAGCTTTAATGTAAAGAATATCACCATCTTCAACAAAGTAATCTTTACCCTTTTGTAACAATTTACCAGCAGCCTTAACACTGTTTTCATCACCATATTCAATCAAATCATCATATTTCATAACTTGAGCCAAGATAAAGGTTCTTTCTAAATCTGTATGAATAGTACCAGCAGCTTGTGGAGCAGTGTACCATTTTCTAATAGTCCATTCTCTAACTTCATCTGGACCACCAGTGAAGAAAGAAATCAAGTCCAATTTTTGTCTCATGGCAACAATGATCTTTGGCAAAGCAGAAATAGCACCAACTTCTTTACAGTAAGCATCTCTTTCTTCATCATTTTCCATGTTGGCTAATTTTTCTTCAAAAGAAACAGAAAGTGGAACAATTAAATCACCTGGAGAGTTGGTGTCAACCCATTCCTTGATTTTCATCAACCACTTGTTCTTCTTTCTAATGTAATCCTTTTCTGACAAGTTAAGTAAGTAAATACATGGTTTAGCAGTCAACAATAACATTTGGTTAATAATGTCAACTTCTTTAGAGGTCCAGGTTTGGTTGGCAATTCTTTTACCATCTTCCAACATTTGGATGATTTTCTTAACAAATTCAGCTTCTTCTTTCTTTTGTTTAACTTCTAAAGATTGACCACCTCTCTTGGCAATTTTTTCAACACTTTCCAAATAAGTGTTGGCAAATTCAATATCTTTCAATCTCAATTCATCCTTAATAATATCCAAATCAGCAATTGGGTTAACTTCATCATTAATATGGATAATATCAGCATCATCGAAACATCTAACCATTTGGAAAATAGAATCAACAGCTCTAATGTTAGACAAGAAATTGTTACCTAAACCTTCACCAGCGTGAGCACCTTTAGTTAAACCAGCAATATCATAAACAGTCAAGAAGGCTGGAACTTCACTCTTTGGTTTGTACAATTCACATAATTTGTCAAATCTTGGGGAAGGAACAATAACTCTAGCTTCTTCTGGATCAATGGTAGCGAAAGGATAATTGGCTGGGTTACCTAATGGACATCTGGTAACAGCTTGGAAAAAAGTTGATTTACCAACATTTGCCAAACCAACAATACCAGATTTCAAGTTATTACCTGGTCTACCTAACAAAACTGGTTTTTCGACAACTCCCTTCTTTTTTGGTGCCATGATTTATTCTATAAATTGATTTAAATAAAAATAGAAATCTATTGATGAATATAAGAAGAAAGTGAAAATCTTTTTCATTTCGCAGAGAACACTAAAATTTTTTTTTTTTTCTATTGCTGTTCGCCGTGGTGGTGCAAGGATTGGTAAGAAGATTTTTTTTTGAAACACTCACACGAATGATTTAACCAAGTAGGAGATTGAAGAGAAAATTTTTTTTGGGTTCATTTCTTACAACCAAAAAAAAAACCAACCATTTAACAAGTCACGTTATCAGACAACCACAACCACAATCACTACCATTACAATGTTTAGAAACATATCACAATTAACTTCAAAAAGATTGAGTCCAACAATAAAGACCAGATCATTTACTATATCAAGTATCATACGTGAAGAAGTCAAAGCAGAAACTAGTAAAGTTGTTCCAAAATCTTCATGTCCAGCAGGTACTGTTTTAAATTTGAAAGTCTTCAAAAAAGGTGATGAACCTGTAGCCAAAGAAGATTCAGAATATCCAGATTGGTTATGGGATATGCTTGATCATAAGAAAACTATGGATACCCTTCAAAGTGAAGATTTCCTTAGATGGAGAAAATTACAATTGAGTAAAGACAATAGAGCTAAAATTAAAAATAACAATTTCTTGAGTAAATTATAGACAACCTGTTCATAATCTTTGTTCATTTCTTGTATATACATATATAATCCAATTTTATTTATATTAACGAACGATTTTTTTTAAAAAAACTGTTTTATATTCTATCTTTTTGGAGTAATAAAAACGTATTTGAAAGAAAAAAAAAAGTACTTGTAGATCTATAGTATACAGAAAAGAAAAAGGGCAAACTAAATATAAATTAACGAAATATCTCTTATTCAATTGGAACGATTTGATGTTCATCATTGAAAGATGCTGGAGCAATAGAGATAGTGTTATCTTCCAAGTCAAAGACTGCATAAACACTTCTCATGAAATTATCACCCAAGATTGAACTGGAACCTGGCAACATACCAAAAACACATTGTTGAACACCTTTTGAATTAGTACCAACAGAGATGACAAATTCAGATGTTGGAACTTGAATATATTGTTCATTATTGAAATTGAATTCCAAATAATTACCATCATTACCAACCCAACATGGCATTTCATAAGCTTTACCTTGTTCGTTATAAGTAACATTACCAAAAAGACTGACAATAGCTTCAACTTGTTCTCTTGGCAAGTAACTATAAGTAGTACCTGAATCTAATAATGCTGGTTTACTACCGAGATCAACACCACCATTGAATGAATCAGTACCATTGTAAATAGCAGCACCAACTTTTGGTGGATGAGTTCCATTAACTGTTGGGGCATCATAAGCACCAGTGTAATTGTTCAAAGATGAAACAACAGCAGTCAATGGAATTTGGGAATAGACATATTTGCCATTAGATTGAACGATATCAATAGCTTTCAATTCACCAGTATATTTAGCATGATCAATACCTCCAAATAAAATATAGCCTTGAGTAGCATGACGAGAATCCAAATATAATGAATAGGCAACTTTAGCAATCAAGTTTTGTTCCTTCATGGCAAATGGTAAGTTGACATATTTAGGTTTAACGGCCTCCAATTCAGGATAACCAACACCTAAAACACCAATTTTAGAAGAAGTGTTATTGATAACTGCAAAGTTGGCATTTTCTAAAGAGAAACCAGGAGCAAAAGTAATATTATCTTGACCCATAGTACCAGTAGCTTTATCACCATCAAAATAACTGATTGAATATTCAGTTTCATTATCATGCCATGATGAAGATTTCAGATAATCAAAAGTACCATACTTAGAACAATCAACGGAACCACCATTAGATTTACATTGAGAGTTTTCATGAGAAATAAACCACAAATCAGATGATCCAGTATCAATCATAACTTGAACTTCTTGTTCTGGAGTACCAACTTTCAAAGTAGCATAATATAAAGTTTGAGCATTATCCAAGGTAAGGAAAAATGCACCGGTTTCTCTTTGAACTGGAGTAGAAGATTCACTAGATGGAGCAGATTCAGATGATGAAGCAGATTCAGATTCTTTTTCAGAAGAAGTAGCAGAAGAACTAGCTTTAGCGGAAGAAGTGGCTTCAGCGGCGGAAGAAGATTGTTCAGTAGTTGGAACAGAAGTGGATGAAGAAGAAGTTGCGGCAGCAGCAGATGATGATTCCTTTTTAGAAGAAGCAGCTACTGAAGATGAAGTGACGACAGAAGAAGTTGATGAAGAAGTAGTTTGAACGGTACTGGAAACAGAAGTAGCAGCAACCGACTCACTAGTAGCTGTTGGAGTGGCAGAACTGAGTAAACCAAGGATTCTCCAAAATTCAGTTGGGATAGCAGTTAAACCAAGTGGTAAATTGCCTGGGAATCCACCAGTAACAGTAGTACCAGCAGTAATAGTAGTTGCTGATGGAGTAGTAGTTGGGCTTTGACCAGTAGTAGAAGGAGATTTTTGTTCACCGGAAGCCAATGATGAGGAAGAAGACGAAGTATCAACTTGATCTTTATTAGATACTGGTAAAGTTGATTGTGATTGAGCTGGTACACCAAGAGTTGTAGGAACACCATTGTTGTAAACAATTGTTTGTGTGGTACCTTCATAAGAATAACCATAAGAGGCTTCAAATTTCCAACTTGATCCTTTATCATCACTTGAACTTTCATATTTACTATTACTAGTAAAAACACCATTACCGAATATAGGTTGGATCATATTGTTAATATTTTCTACATCTTGTTGAAAACTTTTTGAGACACCTTCAACAAGGTCAAAAATTGGAACTCTGTTTGGGAAATTTGAACTTCCAACACCAGTTTGAATTTTATCAACAGGTAAAACAATAAACCCATCACCAATTACAGCCAATGCTGTTGATGACAAAAGTAATAATTCCAATAATACTTTCTGCATTTCTAGTCTGTTTTGCTCGTTGGAGATATTAAATTAATTGGGACTATTAAAACAAAACTCTATTCGATAAAAAAAAAATAAAGAAAGGAATGATTGTAATTATAATGAATCAAGTGTACTTCCCAATTCAAAAAAAAAAAAAATTCAATATCGTCGAATCTAACAAAAGAACAAAAAGTCATTCAGCAGGATGGTAACAACTGGGAGTATAGGAAATGAAAGATCATTTATACTTGGGCATTAATTGGTGAAAGTCAGATCGTGCATATAGCCATGAAAAAAAAAACAATGCAGGTATGAAATTTTTATTGATGTTTGAAACCAAAATGTCAAAATATTGCACAATTTAGAAAACGCTAACCAAAACATTTCCTATTGTATTTTTACTGTTTATATACCTGAATTACACGTACAAAATTACACGACCCACAACTGCAAAAAAACAATTCCTTTTTTTTTTTCTTGGTAAATTGTTTATTTTTGGAACAATCCCAACCAAAAAAAAGGGGGCAGCAAAAGAAAGAAAGAAAATAAAAATTGACGCAAATGCACGCTTTTGTTCCCAGTACACATTTTCAGGTACAACATTCATTAATCTAGATATACACACAACCAGAACTTTTCATAAAGTTTCAGAATAAAGTTGACTTTTACTTAAAGTAGTTAAAAGCAAAAAGAAAAGATGGGGGTTGATCAAGAATAAAAAGAGACTAGACCCACCCTTAACAACTAAGTTAATCCTTAAGATTGAAAATCTCATTGCGCCAATCAATTAATATTGAAATTCTTATTCTACTTTGGTATAAAAATACACAAGTAAAACAATGTCATTAAACAAAAGGAAAAAGAAAAAAACTTCCACAATTGCAACTTAAATTCAATTCATGTCGCTTACTGTTCTTCAGTTTTTCACGAACGAATGAAAGAATCAAAGACATGTATTATATTGCCTTGAATACTTTCAACTCTCATTGATTCATTTTTAAACATTCTATTAATATTTCTTTCTAAAAATAGAAACATTCAATTTGAAAAATTGATGGTCATCATGATATATTGCAAAGAAATACTAACTGGTATTGTAATACTCTTTCTTATTATTTCATTGGTGTAAAAAGATCAATCGGTTTAAAAATCGCGAAAAAGTTTTAATTTTGAGTATCAGTATCAATGATCTCATCAGTTTTCTTTATTGTCCAACTTTTTCTAATATATATATATGACTTAATTAAGTAGTATGATCTTCTATATAGAATAAATTACTTATTCTAGTTAAAGAAGACGATTTTCTGGAAACCCTAGAAATGTTTCATATGATTATTGCAAATGTAAAACTCAATCACGCAGCTATTGAAGGGATTAACTGTACAGAGGGCTACACCAAAATTGACGTCAAGTTGCGCCTCTTAAAACATGATTCGTATTTTTTTGTGTCCCATTTGCTTCCCTACAATACGATTATTTTATTAGTCAACGTCATATTAAAATTAAAATGAGAATAGATCAATTCTTATTAAATATACAATGTCTATACTGATTAAAACGATAACAATGATCGATGCAATGGGGGCGAAAGTGATTGATGATAAATGAGCCACTATTTTTTTTTCTTTCTTTGAATCTACCAAGGATTTGCTTCAAAATCTTCAACACCACCAGTATCTCCCCAATTTTTATGAAGTAATGAGTTTGGCATTTGTACTTGTTTGAAAATTTCGTCACCTTTAAAACCATCTTTTTCTGTTGTTGGCGAATCAACTTTGAAACCCAAAATTCCATCAGTTGACAAAGACTCTTTTTCTTCTCTTCCATGTTCATTTGCTTCTCCATTTTCTTCTCTATCATCATCATAATCTGCTTCTCCTTCTTCGTCTCCTTCTCCTTCTTTTGCATAATTATAAGAATCATCCCTCCATGAATTATTCTCAGCTTGAATTTCATCAATCTCATCAATAATGGCAATTGGTAATGTTGGCTGATATTTTTTGTTCCTAAGGATTCTTACACCACCCAAACCAGCACCATAATTATTAATCAATTCCGTCAAATTTGGTAATGCCACTTCAAAGATAAAGTTTGGATTCAAATAAATGTATTCTTCTTTTGACAAGAATGTTGTTTGCGTCATGTAATGCAAGTATAATCGTTTGATTTGATTAGGTCCTTGCTCATTCATCAATGCTTTGATAACATTAATTAATTTTTTTGGCAATTTATCTTCGTTGACCTCGTATTTGTACAATTTATTGGCCACCTTGACAAGTTGATAATAGTTTAAACAGTCAAATTGATTAATGGTATTTATCAAACTTTCTTCATCGTTTAATGATGACATACATTGCAACCATTGCAATAACTCAATAACCGGTTGTAATTGATATTTCCCCACATGATATAATGAATGATAATAAAATTGGAGGTAATGGGGATTTTTATGGTACTGTGGATCACTATCTTCATTCAAAACATAATGCAACTTGACATCTCCAGCTTTAATGAGCTTGCTTAAGCCACCAATGGTCTCTGGCTTATACACCTTCATATTATGTGAACGCAACCAGTCTTCTATAGCGGATATATTAAGACGGATTTGAATGGCTTTTGAACGAGTGCAATATTTGGATTGACTAATTATACGGTTGAAAATAGTACAATTTATGTAATAGAAAACTTGTGAATATGTTTCCAGACGAAGTAAATTGTCGACGTTATGGATCTTCAAGACATAGTCTAATGCACCTAAAACTTGCAAATATTTGATTGGTGATGGTTTCATCAATTCATTTTGCGATGGTGGATACAAGGTATTTAAAATATCATCATATGTGTTTGGATGTGATTTATTCTTTTTGAACAAATTCCAATCTTTTGCATACAACACGTTAGAGACATCAACCAAGTTTGTAAAATTGATAATACAGTCATCCACAAGTAAATTCAATCTTGAATTTATGGAGAATGACAAGGTTGCTATCAATGATTGCACTAAACTTATTATTTCTTGTAAAAATCTTGGGTATTTGGAATAGATCTCATTTTTACCAAAATAGAAATGCAAAAATTGTAATGAAGAAAGCCAATAACTTAGTAAAACAATATCACCAGCACCATGAGCATTTGCAGGATTCCCATCATCCTGAATAGCCATGTTAAATGCACCTGATTTTGTATTTGTAACAGTTCTCAATCTGGCAGTAAAACAATCAAATAAAAAGTCACTTAGTTCACTTGACTCAACTTTCAATGCAGAATATCTAATCAATTGGAAAACAATTGTAGCTGGTAGTTTGGTGTTATGTTGGTATGTCGTCTGAGATCTTAAATTAAAAATATAATTCAACAAAGAAGGAATATCGCTGTCGGTGAATTTAATATACTGTTCTGGTAATAATTTGTCGTATTCAAATTCAGGAGTTTGTTTGAGTTCAATATTCTGTGATAAAGTATATTCGTCATCTTCTTCATGGACTTGTTCTTCCTGTTCGTCTTCTTCATATTTAGATCCCGATGGGGAGCTAGTTAAAGTTTGCATTTTAAGTTTTCTGGCGAAATCGTCTTCAAATTCATCTTGGGTGGGGGTAAATGCATCAGCTCCAAAAACTTCTTCATCATCACCATCCAATTTTGGTTTCAATAAGTTGTGAGATTTGAAATAGTCATACATCTCAGTGTGTTCTGGATAAACCAATGAAATTGCATTTTTTCCATCATCATTAGGAGACAAATATGGATCTGCTTGATGACTTATTAACAATTTCACCATTTCCAATTGGTTAAGATGAACTGCCCACATGATTGGGGTATACTTGATGATAGAATCCGGAAGGTCTGGATCAGCATTGTGATTATTCAACAATGATTGAACTATATCTGAATTATTAAAACAGACAGCATAGATCAAAGCAGTTGCACCATTCGAGTCCAGTGGGAACAATTGATCAACCAATTCCGGGTGTGATCTAGTAATACTTTCTAATGTGACAGCATCACCATCGCAAGATGCCATTAGTAATTGTATGATCATTTTATTGGCTGTATTGCTTTCATCTCCTGAAACTAGGTTTGATTCTATCAATTGTAATGCTTTTTTAGATGTGATTATTTTACTCAATAGAGGGTCTGACAAATTTAAAATATCAGGAACTTGACTTGAAAAACCACTTCCTCCTACTTTCAGCAAACCTGAAAGAGATGATGTAGTGGCAGTTGTCCATGCATCCATTTGTAAATTGATGAATATATGAGTGTTACTCCTGTGGTATGATTGTGAAGGAAAGGGGAATGGTTATGTACAACTCACACAGATCCACTTGTTTAAATATTTGGTTGCCTTTTGATCGAAGTTGTAAGTTTTTAGTTTTTTTTTTGAGTTTGCTACACGAATACTTTTTTTACCACCACCAAGGGAACAGAAATAGGAGGAGGAGGTGCGAAATGTCGTGGATGATATAATGTCGTTAACATGCGACATTTGGATATTCGGAAGAATACACGCACAGGTAGGAAGATAATTATTCTAATGCAGGGAAATTACAAATTTTAGACTTGAACTACACCATAGACTGATAGTGTGTGAGTGTGTGAGTGAAAAAAAAAAAAAAGAAATTCATCATAGATTCTCAAACACCACCTAACACATAATAAAGAAAAATTTCATATCCTTTCAAGAGAATTAAGAATAACACCAAGTTGATAAACTAACTAAGAAAAAAAAAAGCAAACAATAAAAAAATTAAAGGGATACAACGGATAGATTTATTGATCGTATTCTTCAACTACAACTTCAACTACAACTTCAACTATAACTTCAACTACAACTGCAACAACAACTACAACTACAACAGCCAATACTACGATCACTTGTACTTTTATTTTATTTTATTTTTCCTTGTTTACGTCGATCGCTAATTCCACCCTCATCCTCACATGTTAATGATGTCTAAATTAGTAAGAAGAACTTTACTTCCAGCAATACTCCTTTCTACAATTCTCTTTTTCCTTATTGTTGAAACTTCAAAACAACCCAATGATTCATTATATGATGCAAGTTCTCAAATATTCGATTCAATAAGTCATTTCACATTCGCATCAGACAACACCAACCAAGGTCAACCTCTTCTAGCTGAAAAAGTTAAATCAGATACTGATAAATCCACTGAAGAGAAAGAGAAAGAGAAAGAAAAGGAAAAGGAAAAGGGAAAAGAAGAAGAAAATGCTTTAGATCCATGTACTGTTTATAATCCAAGAAGTCAAGGGTTTATTGATTTAAGAGAATTATCTTCTTTATCTAATGAAGGTAAAGCTTTACCATGGATTGCTAAAGGTTATGATAGTGGTAAAAATTATACTTTGGGAATTTGTTCTAATCCATTTAAAAAACAACATGATGAAGTACATGAAATTCAAGATAAAGTTAATGCAAGCTTGATTGGAGGTTATTATATTGATTCAAAAACTAATAAATATGTATCAATTGGTCAATATGCAACTACTCCTGTGTTTAGAGGTAGAAAATTAACTTTAACTTATGAAAATGGTTCCTATTGTGATGCTGTTGATAGTATTACAAATCAAAGATTGAGAAAATCAACAATATTGACATTTACTTGTGATCGTGAAATGAGTGCTAGAGCTCTGGTTTCTTTTATTGGACAAGCAAATGAATGTACTTATTTTTTCGAGGTTAGATCTCATCATGCATGTCCAACAGCTCCCAAATCAAATAATTTAGCTGCTGTTTGGATTTTCGTACTTATATTTTTGGCTGCTATTTTTGTTTATTTCTCTGGTGGTGTTTTATATAGACAAATGAAAAGGGCATCAAATGACAATAGAAGTAAGATATAGATATTCCTTGCATAGAATCAAAGAACCAAATAAATAATCATTATTAACAACAAAATATTAATCAACAAAGAGGGATAAAAAAAAAAAAAGATAAAACATGATTTTATATTTTATAGTTTATCAACAAATTTTTTTTCTCTTTTTTAGTACTTACAACTAGTATACACTATTAATGACAACATTTCCAAAATTGTCTGTTTCAGTTCTTGTTTCAACTTTAGCAACAATCTTACCTCCAGTAGCTGCTAATCTAATAGAAGCACCAACTTTACCACCCCAAGCATCCTTACCTAATAATTTCAATGTATGTGAAGTGCTATCACTTGGAACATAATCAGAACCATCCAAAGGCAACATATTCAAAACATTTCTCAATTTGGTAACAGCATTCTCTATAGTTTCAACATTACTAATGTTAACAACACCAGATTCCACATTAGACAATTGATCAAAGACAGCAGTGAAATTGGAGTTGTATAATGGAATGATAAAGTCTCCAGCCAATAATTCCAAATCATCAATTTGGTACTCATCAGACCAACCATCATCAGTTGGGTCAACATTACCATCATCATCCAAATCTTTATTAGTATAAGCAACAGTGTTGCCAAACGCCGAGAGCAATTCTTCGTCGTTTATACTTGGTGTAGAAAATGCAACATATACAATACCAGTTTGGTCTGGTTTTAATTCACCCAATGGAATAATGAAATCTTCTTGATATAATTCATTATCTGGTTGAGCAATAACGGAAATATCTTCCAAAACAGTATGTGGTAAAGTATTGTTGATATTGTATTGTAAGACCAATTTTTGAGATTCAACAAACAAATGTTTAACAACACTGACAACAATTTCATTTTCTTTATCAGTCAAGTAAACTGGATTAGCAGTAGATTTAGTCAATTTACCAAATGCCTCAAATTCAGCAATAGCAGACAATTCTTGAGCATACTGCTGTTGTCTCAACAAGTCATTGGCAACATTGTCAGCACTAGATTCACCACCAGTCTTACCCTTCTTCTCTTCAGCATCGGATACATCGTTACTGTCTGTAGTAGAGCTTTCCAATTTGTTAATCTTTCTGTTGTAATCTATGGATTTCAATTCTTCGTTAGAAATAACTGGAACTTCATCAATATCAAATTTAGCACTAAAGTTTTCTTCATTGTTCAAATAATGAATTAATTTACTTTCCAAAGCATTTAAGTCATATCTTGAGTCACTGACAATCAAATTCTTTTTACCATTGTTGATGAAGTTCAAAGAAATAGCAGCTCTATCTCTAACTTCATCATCAACATCGTTCAAGCATCTACCCAACAAGATGACAATATTCTTAGAAACATCGCCACCGCATACAGCAGCAAATTTAGCCAATGCAATAACAGCAGAGGATCTGACAATGGAGTTTTCCAAAACCAATCTGTTGTAAATGTGTCTAATGTAATATGATGGGTTGGAAGTATGTGGACCTTCGTCACCTAACAAGTGCAAGATACGTACTGATAATTCAGTAAATTCACAATCTTCAATGAATTCACACAAATTCATTAAGATCAATTGTTTAGCACTAGCATCTGGTAAAAATTTGATTAAATCAAACAAAGCATCAACGATACTGCTCTTCAACTCTAATGAGCCATCATCTCTCAACAAGTCAGTCAAGAAAGAAACCAATTTCTTGTGTTTGGCAGGGAATTTCAAAGCCAAGTTTTCAATAGCTTCGATAATGACAATCTTGAAATCTTCGGTGATTTCATCCATCAAGGAAGTCATCTTGGAAATTAATCTATCGACACTTTCACCACCGGCAGATCCAGTATCGACAGTACCAGCACCCATGGTCTTCAACAAAGTGGTAATGGCCAATGTTGAAATAGATCTGTTACTATCATTAATCAATCCTTCCAATTCCAAATTGACAACAATAATCTTTTCTGGGTGTTTAATGGAAACCTTGTTAATTAATCTAATGGCAGCAAATCTGGTTGCAGTTCTTGGGACACTTAATAATTTTTGTAAAGTAGTGACAATTTGCATAAATTGATCATCTTTAATCAAATGTTGCAAGTTAATTAAAGTCTTACAGGCTTCAATTTCAACCATATCTGACTTGTGTTTCAAGAATCCAGCCAAAATTGGGTACAAGTGGTTGATCAATGATTCATCGTCATTCAAAATCTTGTTGATATATCTAATCAATTGAATAATGGATAAGGAGTTTTTCAATGAAGACCCTTCAGACAAAGAAGTAATCAACTTCATCAATGCCATTTTGTCGTGATTTCTTAATTGATAAATCAAACCCAATGCATGGTATTGATACATGTAACTAGTAGAAGGTAAATTGGAGGTTGAAGTACCATAATATTCATGTAATTGGAATTGGTTTGGTGGGAATTGTTTATAAGATTGGATGGTTTCCAAAGTTTCGTTGGTAAATCTTTTAACAACTTCTTTGGCGTGTGGTAACAAGTTATAAGAAGAAATCAAGGCAGCAGAAGAAACAATTGGATTCTTGTCAACAATAGCATTCTTGAATAATCTTTCAGCTGCATTAACAGTAGTTGGATCTAACACTTTAGATAAGGTTCTAATGGCATTTGGTTTGTAAACTGCATCATTACCTTGGATATCTTTCATGATTGAAGAAGTAACCATTAAAATATCATCAGAAGTTGAGGATAATTCTTTAATTGTCAAATAAACCAATTGTCTCAAAGATTGGTCCTTATGTTGGAACAATTTAGAAATGGAGAAAAACAAAGTAGTTGATTCTTGAGCTGGGAAAGTTTCACCATTATAGATCAATCTTAACAATTTGGCTAATAGTTGTCGACACTTTTTAGCATTAACTGGTGAGGCATTAAATTGTTGAAGACATTCTTGGAAAACGGCCATCTTATCCGGAATACCAGAAGTGCTTGCATAAGCATCCTGTTTCTTATAAGACAGGGTAGACATGGCTTCTCTATTTTCTAAATTTGATCGGTAATGATTTAAAAAATGGTTGTCAAAGTCCAAAGTGCTGATAGATTTTTTTTTTTACTGTTTTTTTCATGGTTCAAGAGAGAGAGAGAGAGAAAGAACGGTGAGATTTCTTTACTTACGTGTTTTGATTTGTTGGTCGTGTGGGTAGTTCAAATAATCTCAAATCCAAGGAATTATTTTTTTTTTCTTTTTTTTTTCATCAAAGGATTTTCATTTGGAGTATTAGATTTTTAAATAGACTATCATTCGGATATACCAACCTTCATACACACACGAACAATGCTTTCCCTTACAAAAGTTATTTCTCAAAGATTCAGCCCAACTACTGTTACTAGAAGTTTATTTAATGCTACACCAAAGATAATAAATCCAATAACAGCTGGCTCATTATACCAACCAATAAGAAGCTTCAAAGTTAGAACTTCCGTAAAGAAATTCTGTAAAGATTGTTACTTGGTTAAAAGAAAAGGTAGAGTATATGTCTACTGTAAAAGTAATGGAAAACATAAGCAAAGACAAGGTTAAGTGATTGGTTCCTTTTATTCATTGTGGTTTTCGATTTATATTCAGAGCTTTAAATTTCCATGTACATATTCCTCAACAATAGATATTAATGAATCAATAATAAATAAATATAAAAAAATCCTAGAAAGTGTGTTTATTTTAATTTTATGTTTGTAAAAAGAAATATGTTTACTCTATTTAAGAATTACACTTGACCGGCTCTTGTAGTTGGAGTTTGGTTTTGTCTTAAACCATATGTTTGGTTATAAGAAGGAATTCGGGGATTTATTGAACGTTGTGAAACTGGATGATGCTGTGGATTTGCCACATTGACTTTAGTAACAGAAGGAGACAGTGATGAGATTATAGCTTCCTGCCATATTCTAGTCAAAGTACCTGATATCTCGGCTTCCTTCTCTTGAAATAATGGAGAAAACTCTTCAAATGAATCAGCAGCAGTATTTCGGCCATTAGCATCTCCCTTTCTGGTTTTTTCCACCTTGAGTTCACTCCCTGAAAGACTCTCCATTCTTTTCAATGATTCTCCTATTGGGTTTAAGTGACGTCTAACATTTAAATATTCACGATTTAATCTTTCAAATTCAGTCCTGGTTTGTACGGTGTTTGGTAAAGTGCCTTGCATCATTGCAAATGCACCATGGCCATTCATTTCCATTCCACCACCAGGAGTCATTGGAGTCATCGGTTGTGAAATTCCTTGTTGCATTTGCATCTGCATCTGCATTTGCATTTGCAATTGTTGCTGTTGCTGTTGTGGTAGTTGTTGGTGTTGTGACAATTGAAGTTGCAGTTGCGATTGAAGTTGTTGCTGTTGCTGCTGCTGCTGCTGTTGTTGTTGATGATTATGAGGTGGAACTTGATTTACGAATTGCAAATCACGCATATTAACTTGACTTTGATTATTGTAACTTTGGGCAAACATCAAATTGTTTAATGACAAGTTGGAAAAATTAGCCATTCGTGCAGCATCCAAGTTTGTCACATCCATAAGTGAACTTTCCCTTTGAAGCCATAATCTTTGTTGAGTTCTAGTTTCAATATTATGACCATATTGCAGATCAGAAGATGACGACGCAGAATGACTACCTTTAAGGAAATCAGAAAAATTATTTGCCCCGTTATTCATGGCATTACCCAAAGGTGACGGAGGTTGACCCTGTTTAGATTTTGGATGTTGGCCATATTGTTGGTCTTGGGCTTGCTTCTTATTCGACATATATTGGTTATTTGTTCTTTGCAAATTATTAAAAATGGTTTGTTCGGGTTGATAAGAGTTATTCTGGTTCACATTCTTATTTGTGGTGACGGGTTCAGCAACATTATTAGGCTCTATAGGATTAGCCAGAAATGAAATACCACTAATTTGACGAGAATTCATTGGTTCATTACGAGGAAGTGGAGGGTAGGCTTCGGTCATCTTGAGATTTGCACCATGAAGATGGTCTATTTTTCTCACTAACCCGGTTGATTGTGACAACAATAAAGAGCCTCCGTATAAGTTATTATTCTGTGAAAAATCATCAGTGGAACTTCTTGCTGATGATACGAGATCTGGACGTGATTCTTGTTGTTGGGTGAGTTCTTGTTGAGTTTGTTCGGATGGCGGGGCTATACTCTCAACTGTATGTCCTTCTTCAACAACTTCAAGCTTATCACTAATTTTAGGAGGTTCCTCAGAAGCTGGAGTGGGTTCTGGTAATATTCTATTTATCTGTTCATACAAACTTGGAATGTTTTGTTCTTGTTGCAGATGTGTTGTAGATATAGTATCTTGACTGTCGAATCTTTCGGGTACAGGTTGATTGTTGTGTTCTTCGGTATCCAGTTGTTCATTGACATCCTCAAAATCGCCATCATCATCATTTAATCGAAGAATCGCTTTCCCTTTACGTGCACTAGATTTTAATCCGATACCTGATGTGAGTCCTAATGCTTTCAAAGATGCATTGGATTTATTGGCTTTCAATGTCGGACTTGAAATTGCTTTAGTAAGGGGTTGGATCCCAGGCACTTTAGTATATGATTTACTACTTCTTTTCAATGGGCCACCTGGACGACTCTTTACTAATGCTTCGGTTGACTTGGAACGATTAAGATGTGGTCGTGTAGTTGAGCCCGTAGATGTTGACAATTTGTTCAATATTTTATTATGTGAAAGTGATCGATTATGACTCTTCAACCGGGTAGGTTGTTTCTTATTAAGTGATGGTGTGCTTGAGTTACGTGGTAAATTACTAGCAGATGCGGGTCTTTGGTTGATGTGCTGTGCCGGACGGATGGCTGAGACGGGTTGGACTGGATTGCTTCTAACTCCTTTCTGACGAGCTGTTTCTTGTTCTGTAGACAGCGGTCTTGAATCGCCAAAATAATCTTGTTTGGATGTGTCACTTTCCGGCATTCTGCTGATAAACTTATGAGAATGATCTTTGAATAACTATACTACTGGAAGTTATTTGATTTATTTTAGTATTTTTTTTTCCTCTCTCTCTGTATTGTAAAAGGAATGATGTAACTTTAATGTGTGTTGGTAATTTTCAGGCTGGTTTTTTGACTTTTTGGTGAGAACTTCAAGCGCAACTTCGTGATGAATAATGGAGGACAATAAAACATTATTATTCCCATTTAGGAAGTCTATGCGGGTAACAAAAACCACAGAAAGTAAATATGCAAAGAAATTTGTGGGAAAGGAAGTTTGAAAATGTGAACAAGAATATATCATCCTAGCAACATTTCCTATCGTCAATATTATCACTTCTGAACTTACCCATATACATACAAGTTGTTTAGATACATATGAGAAAATTCAAAGAACCCAACAATGCCCTGCTGTATATAATGCTATACCTTTTTATGGGTCTACTATTTGTGGTATACTATACATTCCTATTTGGTATATACAGTGTCTTTCGACTTATAGTGAAGCTAATATTGTATTGTGTTTCATCAATTTCCCGCATAACTGTTTAAATTTTAACGTGCTTTAATGACAAAATATAAAGACTTTATTGATTTAAGATATATATATATATAAAAGAAATTTGATACTATTTATTATGGCTGTACCCCTAGAACATCACACTCTTAGTCGTAGGAACTAGTCAACTTGAGGTTGATGATCTGGTTTTTCTTCTCTTACTAGGTGGATGTTCTTTTTCCTGGTATTCCTTCTTGCAAACTTGTTGTCTCTAAGTACTTGATTTTGAAAGTAGAATTTCAGACACATCGATATACTACCATGAGGTATGTAGTGTCAGCTGGTTTACGGTCTTTTTGGATATTCATCCTCCGAATGATCTATTCATGACCGGTATCCCCCAGTTGACTGTTGCTTCACGCGTGCTGAAAACACTCTTCGTCAGTATTTCACCATCAACAGCAGCTGAATGAAATAAATCAAACCATATTTTGATAGATCTATAAACACTGGTTATAGCCCTTGTGATGAACTCTCACCTATATTGATCCGTCTACCAAGTCTAAATTTTTCTTTCGAAACAATTTGTACCAATTACCTCAAACGGTACTTCCATAGACGAGGTTGGAAAATAAAAAAAAAAAATGTAACACAATTAATCAACTTACTTAACACATCCTCTACAGACAATGCATGAACTAGGTGACTTCCCAAGAGAGATTCTTGAAATTTCTTTGGGTTATATGCCCAGTGATACTTTGATAACATTGCTTGATATTCCACAAGTTGAAACTTTAGCTAGAAGATTACTTTACACAACCATTAGAATAGGGGGCAAGTTTTATGATAGAAGACTTCTCGAAGATGACGAAGATGACGACTATGATGAAGAGGACTATGAAGACAGAATCAAAAGCAAATATTTGAGAGTCGGTCATCGACCACAAATTATTGATGGAATTCCTGTATTGAAAAGTGCCATGGAATACTATCATTTGAGAAAGTCAAACCCTAATGTGAGACCATCAAAGTTGATTTTTGATGATGTCATGACTGCCGTTCTGATAGCACATACATCACCAGAGATTTTGGAGAATACTCACATAGAATTGATATTCACTCCTGATTTCAACTTCTCGCTCTTCTGTAGTGAGTACAAGAGGGCACCTTTCACGGTTTCATCACTTGTTAATTTTGATCCTTGTGAAGAGAATCGTGATTTGGATCTTTTTAGAAATGTGACATCATACACTAGTACATCAAAACGTGATTTTAAGATGGATATGAGAGACCTTTTACCTCGTTGGTTTCCTAACCTTAAGGAGTTGAAAATCGAACAACAACTTACACTCGCTCACATTGCTATGTTACCAAAACAAATAACAAGTTTGTCGTTATATATACATCTTGATGGTACTGAATCTAATGGAGCATTAAAGTTAGGATTACCGCAACTGTTAGAAGACTTGAAAATTAAAGTAGTTAATGAAACTTCAAATATGATGCATATTGATATATCTCATCTTCAGCTTAACAGCTTAATTATTGATGGGTGTTCAAAGTTTAGGTATGGTGACGGAGGTTTGAAATGGTTGGTTCCTTCATTGAGAAAATTGTCCTATGATGCAAGTCATTTTATGGCCAAGCCTCTTAAACACATGTGCCCCCAACTACTTGAATTAAATGTGGGAAGTATAAATGGAGAATCTTCGGTTCCTGGAAATTATTTGAACAATTTACCTTCTTCTTTAGTTGCTCTTATGGTTCCGGCAAATGCCTTTAATTATCCTAAAATGGAAACAAAGAAACAAAAGTTTGAGTCAGCAAATCTACCATCTAACTTGAGAAAATTAGAATTAACTGGGCGTCCATATGGAAATGATGGAGCATATATTGATTTTGAAATGAACAAGTTGTGCAACTTAACGACCTTATCCATTATTGATGTTCCAGAAATCAGTATTTGTGGTAGTCTCCCACCTTCTATAACAAGTTTGACTCTTCATCTGGTCAAGTCGTTTGGTTTCAATATGTTGCAGCATTTACATATGTTAAGAGATCTTGAAATAAAGAGAAGTGATAAGTCATCATCAAACTTCAACTATAAGCTACCACAATCATTAACAAGTCTTAAGATTTCATACTGTGATTTAAAGGCAATAAATATAGATGCGCCTAAACTAGAACTGTTGGTAATTGATGGAGAGGAAATTCAATCATTGACAAAATCAAACTTTAGAATTCCAGGTAATCTCAAGAAGTTGCGAGTTTCTAATTCTAAAGTAAGAGAGATCTTGATTGATTTTCCTACAACTTTGAAAGAGTTGGATTTGTCTCAGAATAGTCTCGGGATTTTTGGTAGAGGTAAGAAAGCATCATCTTTTCCAGTAGGATTGGAAATTCTTGATTTATCACACAACAATATTAGTGATGAATGGATCCGAAGACTGAACTTATTGGAATTAAACCATTTGAAATCTTTGTATTTGGGACACAATAGATTGGTTTACTTGGTTCCAGAGTTTTTACCTTCTTCGTTAGTTGCATTAGATGCATCTAATAATGGAGTGATTGCATTTGCGGATTTTGATAATACCCCAAATCTTGAACAATTAGATTTATCATTTACTAAATTATCTGGATTCTTGTTGCAATTAAAAGGAAAAGATAAGGATTTGCCTGAATCTATTAAATTTGTTAGTATTCAAGGTTTTGGATTATCTTATGAAGAAGTTGAGGTTTTCTATAATATTCTTGCTAAGAAACCAAATTTTGAATACTTAAATCTGTATGAAGCACCTATCGATGCGCTGATGGTATTAGGAAAGGGAGCAAAGTTGTCAAAAGTGGGACTCTTGGGTGGACCAGGTGGTTTTATCTCCGTGAATTAATTAGAGGTTGATATTCAATATTACTTTGTGTAGAGTAGTATATCATTTTTGGATATTAGCTTTAATTCCAAAAATTTGTGTGATAATCTATATAAATTGTTTTATCATTGGGAGTCAAAGTATAGTGGTCATACGTACAAGTGATCCTTAGTAGGCAGCAATCATCTATGTCGTATTATTAAGATCAATTTTGATAAATACAACATCAACAATCATCAACTAACAAATTCCTGCATGTAGTCGATATTGCAAATTTGGATGGATTTGGTGTATAATGCCAAGGAAATGAAATGAAAAGATTACAATATTACCATCAATTATAAAAAAAATTACAAGGAAAACGTGCTACAATAAAATGAAATTTGTTCATAATTTTCCAATCACTTTCTTCTTTCTTTTCTTTTCTTTCTTATCAATTAACATATATCATTATGAGTTCAAGTATTCTTTTATTCCCTGATGAAATTTTAGAATGTATTATTGGGTCACTTAATAAACAAGATACAATAAATTTATCATTAGTTCATTCAAGATTTACCAAACTTTGTCAAATTAAATTATTGAAAAGAATTTATATTTATAATGATGATAAATTTTTCAAATTCACGAAAAAATCAAAATATATTGATGAATATTTGAATTTTACAAGTATTGGATTATCTAAATTTGTAAAATTATTGAATTCATCTCAAGGCAATTCAATTAGTTCCAAAATTCAAGAAATTATTGTTGCTAATGATGATATTGCATATTTAGATTATTATGAATTCATGAAAAGAAAGAAACTTCCCGTTAAATATGATCGAATTAAAGAAATGGAAATTAATAAATGGTTTCAAACTCAAAATATTGGTCAAGATGTTGCAATACTGATGGAATTGGGTGATTTGAAAAGAAGATCAGGGTTATTGGCATCAGTAAATAATAAACCTAAGCCAAATGATTATGGTGATCATTTTGTTGCTGTGATAATGATTATTGCTGCTGTTATTGGTGTAATGTATTATTTTGGATATTTTGATGGTTCTTTATTGAATATTCTATTTGGTGTATAGTTACTGTAGTAATAGAAATAAACTTTCACAGTAAGGAAATAAATGGTGGGGGATAATGCATGCATTATGCGGGTGGAAGAAAGGAGTGGGAGGAGGAAGGGGGGCTTTTAAAATCTACCGATTTAAAATAAAAAAACGAACTTTAATCTTCCCGATTAGTAATCCACCATTCGACTCTCTTCTTTTCTCTTCATTTCATTTTTCCATTTGGTTCATCAATCAGTAATGACTAAAGAAGCAAATAGTACTGCAATTAACTCATTCAATAGTAATCATAGCGAGTATGATGTTTTCCGTCCTTCGTTTACTCCAATCTTGGTGAATCCATTTTTAGCACACCTTGGATTAGCCAAAAAGGAACCCGAGGGATATTCATTCGACACTTCAAAAGTAATTGTTGAAATAGCTTCTGGTACTGGTAAATTCACCCAGAATCTTGTTGATAATGGATGGAAAGACAATTTAATTGTTGTTGAACCAAGTAAAGGCATGTTGCTAACTTTCAATGAGAAATTCCCTCAAATTAGGAAACAAATCCTTGCTTCATCTTATCAGATTCCATTGGATGATAATTCAGTAGATGCAGTTATTATAGCACAAGGATTTCATTGGTTTTCGGATCTTGAAAGTTTAAAAGAAATTTACCGAATTTTAAAACCAGAAGGAAAATTGGGATTAATTTGGAATTTTGATTATACTAGTCCATGTCATGATTCTCCAATTGGTAAAACTGAATTTTATAATGCTGGTAGTCAATATTTCCGTGAATTGGAATTCAATGTAGCTAAAAATAACAAAGAAGTATTTGAGCAATTTTTTGATAAACAACCATGGAATAAAGCTGTCACTCAATACATTTATGAATTTGATGTACATGTTCCACAATATAGACATGGCAAATGGAAAGAAGTCTTGAAAAAGAATCCGTATTTTGGAACTAATGAACTTAACTTGTTTACATTTTATGATCAATATATCAATAAGAATGATGTTTGGAAATACTGGGAAACAAGATCTTATATAACTAGTATGACTGATGAAGAAAAAAATAAGGTGAAAGAGCATGTTGCCAAATTGATCTCCGAAAATATCACCAATTCAAGTTTTGTCGACAAAGATAAAGAATTATTGATAAAACCTATGGCTACCCATGCAGTTGTAGTTCAATCAACAAAAGAATAGATTATCTCTTATACATTTGTGTTCGTTAAATAGATATACATTTATGTCATGTTATTGTTTAATATTTTTCGTAATCTAGTTTGCCATTGGATTAAATGTAGTTGGTGCATCAAAAGTAGGGTCCTTTGAAGGGATATAAACAGAAGTTTCTCCTCTACTACTGCCACCATTGTATCCACCACGATGACCACCACGGAATCCACCACGACCACGACCTCTGTAACCACCTCTACCTCTAAATCCACCACGGCCACCTCTTCCTCTGAAACCACCAGAAGCAGCAATTTCAGCACCTGCTTGGCCACCATGTCTACCTCTTCCAAATTGTCTACCTTCACGGAAACCTGGATCCAAATCGATCGTTATATCTTGAGAATCTAAAACAGTTGATTGTAAAAATTTCATAGCATTTAAAGAACCTTGTTCAGTTCTATAGATCACAAAACAGAACCCACAAGGAGTAAGTTTGTTTCTATCTAAACCCATAATAATTCTATCAATTGCTCCACATTTCAGGAATAATTCGTGTATTTGTTCTTCGGTTGTAAAATGAGATAAATTTCCAACATAAACTGTTTTCAGTGTCATTGCTCTTTCGATTTCCCCATAATTATGTCTAGCTTTTCTAATCAAATAAGCTGATGGTTTATCTAGTCTTTCAGCTGAGTTTTGAAAGTTATTCTCTAATGATATCATTTCTTCTTAGTTATGTGATTGAATGGAACGTTTCTATCAGACTATCAAGAAATATTTCCATTTCTCAGTATATTTTTTTTTTTTGTCTCTTTTTTTTTTTGGCTTACAGTTGATGTTCACGCGCAGTCACAAAAGTTTTCTTTTTTTGAAATTGACAACCAACATCGAAAGGAAAGGTTTCCAATTTTTCTTACCTGCTGTTTTTTTTTTTCTCAGCTACGTTACACCTAGTGCTAACAAACAAGAAAGGTGGGTTTTATTTTGACTATTACCTATTAGTATTGTCCCCCCATAAACTACTTAGATCCACATTTAGATTAATATAATGCTTAGTCGATTAGGGTTTGGTACAGGTATAAGATCCATTTATAATGTTCTGGACAATCCATCCTTTGTTTCGGAACCATGGGCCATTTATCCAGCTAAACACAAAAGTAATGGAAAACTAGTATCAGTGTTTATTTTTGACAAATCAAAGTTTGAAGGACAGATTAGTAGGTTATACTCGTCTTCATCTTCACATGCAAAGAACCCAAAAGTTGTCATTAGTGAATGTTATGAACTTATCAAATTTGAAGTTAATCAGTTAAGTAAATTAAAACATCCACAGTTGTTACAAATATTTGAAGTATTAGAAGAAACGAAAACAAAGTTTTTATTTGCCAGTGAACCAGTTACTGACAATTTATTGACTATTAACCCAAAAGAGTTGGACAGTTTATCAATACAAAAAGGGTTGTTGCAAATTGCCAAGGGCTTACAATTTTTGCATAGTTATGGATCAATAATACATTTAAATTTACAACCATCGTCTGTGTTTGTTAATAATCAAGGAGATTGGAAACTCGGTGGATTTAAATTTTTACAAAATCTCAATGAAATATCCCCACTGGAACGTGAAAATTTCTACATTATGAATAATTCATCTGTGGTTCCATTTGCCAATTTGAATTTGAATTTCACTGCCCCAGAGTTGATAGTTGATTCGCATACTAAATTGGATTTTGCTAATGATATATGGTCATTAGGTCAAATGATTTTTTATTTATATAATAATGAGACATTGATAAATTGTTTTGATTCCAATAGTATATCTGATTACAAGCAAGAATTTAGGAAATTTGAACAAAAGTTTTACAACCATAAACCAAGTGAATTGAAATATGTTTTGAAAGATGTGCCTTCCAAGTTGTATCCTATTTTCCCACAATTATTAGCAAGGTATCCACATGATAGACTTACATTAGATCAATTTATGGATTCTGAATTCTTCAATGGAGGTATTATTAAAGCGATGTGGTTTATTGATGAGTTTTCCACTAAATCATTGGATGAAAAATTGGTGTTTTTGAAAGGGTTATTGGACGTTGATCCAAGTACAAATTCAAGTTTAATTGCTGAGTTCCCACCTTCATTCAAATCACTGAAATTACTACCATTATTGATTGATTTGTTGACAAATGAATTAAATGTCTTGACTGATATTCCTGATTCACAAACTGATGAATTGATCTCATATGCATTATCTATTGTATTAAGGATTTCTGAAACCTTGTCCAATTTGACTTTCCAAGATAAGGTTGCTGATGTGTTGTTCAAGGACAATTCCAAGAATAAAAAAGCACCAAATACGTTTACCAAATTGATTAATTGTTCTGTTAGAACCAGATTAACTTTAGTTGAGAATTTGAAAATCATTGAGGAGAAATCTAAAGATAAACAATTTGTGAGTTTTTTCAAGGCTATAATTGATTTAGTATTGACCGTTTCATCAAAGGAAAAAGACAAAGTTGAAACTCAAATCCAGCTTCAAGAGAGTTTTTTGAAATTTGTACCTCATATTGTCGATAAACTTGATTTTCCGTATATTAAAAACACATTGATGCCATTGTTGGCACAAGTTTTCAAGACCACGACTATACTTTCAACCAAATTGGCAACGATAGATACATTCGAGAGCTTGGTAGATAAGAAGATTATTGACAAGATCATTGCTAATGAACAATTGTTCCCAATTATGAAGAATTTGAAAAGTAGGGATAAACGAGTAGTTGGTAAAGTTTTGAGTTTCTTTGCTAAACTTGTAACCAGTGAGCATGTCAATTTGGAATTGGAAGCCACTATTGAGTCGGTAATTCCCCAATGTTATAGTCTTGCATTTGGATGTAATGATTGTAGCAAGCTGGAGTTCAATGCATTTATAAGAATCATCAATTCGATTCAGAAACATTTAGTTGATAAGAAATTGGCAACATTGCCTCAGACAGTATCTTCAAACGGAAGTACAAGTCATGGAAGTTTTGATCATGGTAAACAAACATTTGATTCATTATTGCAAACTCAAACCATTCGTCAATCTACCGATGAAACTTTTGCACCTAAATCAAAAATCATGCAACCAACAAAGAAATCGAATCCAAGTTCTCCAGTTTCTTCCACTGCATCAAAGCATATTTCACCACCACCATCATCATTATCAAAGCCAAATTCAAGTGAACCGATTACATTAAGACCAAGACCTAAAAAGACCACACCCCATACAAACAATTTAAGTTTTGGAGCAACCAATGCCGCCACGAATGCTACTAATAGTAGACTTTTGAATACATTGAATAGTACATTTGACAAGAAGAAGGCTTCACCAGCAGTAGATAATGATGAAGATGAAGATTTTGATGATTTCCAACTGGCAAAATCCATCAAGTTACCAAAAAGAAAACATATTAATTGGGGTACTGAAGTGGATAAAATGAAAACATTACCAAATACACCAATTACTCAAGACGCTCCAGCTACTAAGCCTGTTCCACAAATTCAACCACAACCAGCAGTTAATTACCCACCTGGGTTTAATTCAAATATGGTTTTGTCACCAAAAACATCAACTACAACCACCAGAACGACCACACCAACATCATCAGGTATGGGTCAATCAGCCAGTACTAGCAACACCACAAATCAAGATTTATTAGATTTGCTATAAGTGAGAATTTTATGATATAGTGATTATTTATAAAACAAACAAGAAATAAACGATATGTAAGTTTTAAAAAAAAACCTAACGGTTTCTACACTATCCTATCTCCCTCTTATGCAGTTGAAACCCTTTTTTTAAACGACTGGGGTATTAAATTTTAGTAATGGACCAGAACTCATTGGATAGTTGACATCAGCTGTCAAATGATAATCGATGCAATGATTCGATTTTTTTTTTTATTTTTGTTTTTCTATTTTGCAACACACTGGTTGAGTATCTTAAATGCAAGGTTATCTTTTCTCCCTGAGCTGTAAAAAAAAAAAAAAAAATAAAATAAAATAAAATAAGCAGAACGCGTGTGCGCACGGTGTGGTTTGTGAATTAGTGCAGAACGGAGAAATCTGTTCCCAATTAGGCAAATCGCCGCATCGTACTAAAAATAAAATAGCATGATGTGCATGGAAACGATATACGCACAATGAACAGTAAACTGTGAGAAACGACGGGAACGACCGGGTTTAATACACTGCGTCGTGTGTTAACCCAAAAATGAAAAATCCATTATTCTTTCTAAACGAGACCTTCACAGTGGTATAATGAAGGAACCCGATGGTCGGTATACTGTGCACATAACTTTTCCAATTCGTTCCCATCGTTTGTGATAGATTGAAATTTTTTTCTTTTTGCTTTTCTTTGTAACAGTATTACAGTGCACACACTCACACACACACTGTTTAAACCAAAAAAAAAAAAAACTTAAGATTGATACAGGAGAAGAAGCAAAAGCAGAAGAAGAAGTTTTTTACATTTAATTTAAAAAAAAAAAAAAAAAAAAATAAACATTCAAGTGGAGTGGTGTTACTTTCTTTTAATCATAAACTAGATTTCACTTTCGTTTATTTCATTTGTTCCATTTAAGGAGAGAGAGAGATCTTTGTATATAAATATATAATCAGATTTCTCAGATTTGGATTTGCTATTAATTTTATCTTTGCCCTTTTCTTGCCCACTTATTCCATTCACTATTGCCTGGTCAATCTAATCAACAAAGGGATATCTATACATATATATATATACACTTATACATATTAGTATTAAATCCTACCTTTCCATTCATTCTTAGGTTCATTTATTTATTGAGTTTATCAATCAGCCCTTTTGGTTTATTATTACCATAGTTCATTACAACATATTCTACTACTAAGATCAAATCATGGATATCGTTCTTGAAATTTGTGACTACTTTCTTTTTGATAAAGTCTATAGTAAAGTTTTCCCTAAAAACGGAGCAGCTCATGAATTTGTTAAAAATTCACCAATTATTCAATCATTATCCAATATTCAACTCCCAAAAGCTGAAATTTTAGATTCATTTTCTACAAATTCAACTATCTTATCATCTTCATCAACTTCAAATTTCTCCCTTGCAAATGTAAATCCAGCTAATATCCCAAATTATTTATTAACAAAAATTGCAAATTATCAAGATAAATCAGAAATCTACGGTTTAGCTCCTACTTTTTTGCCTGCTGGTGATTATTTCGATAGTTCATTCTTAGCAAGATCTAATATTTTCAGGGAATTCTTATCCCTTTTCATAGTTACTACTATTTTTGGTTGGGTTTTATATTTCCTTGTTGCTACTTTATCTTATATGTTTGTTTTTGATAGAAATATTTTCAATCATCCAAGATATTTGAAAAATCAAATGTCTTTGGAAATCGGTTTGGCAACTAGAGCCATTCCAGTTATGGTTTTATTAACTTGTCCTTTCTTTATGATGGAATTGCATGGTTTTTCATTCCTTTACTACAATATTGATGAATCTACTGGTGGTTATAAGGCACTTTTATGGCAATTTCCTAAATTTATTTTATTTACTGATTGTGGTATTTATTTCCTTCACAGATGGTTACATTGGCCAAGTGTTTATAAAGCTTTACATAAACCACATCATAAATGGATTGTTTGTACTCCTTTTGCATCCCATGCTTTCCATCCAGTTGATGGTTTTTTCCAATCTTTACCATATCATATCTATCCATTATTTTTCCCATTACATAAAGTTTTATACTTGTTTTTGTTCACTTTTGTCAATTTCTGGACTGTTATGATTCATGATGGTAATTATTGGTCAAATGATCCAGTTGTCAATGGTACTGCTTGTCATACTGTTCATCATTTATATTTCAACTATAACTATGGTCAATTCACCACTTTGTGGGACAGATTAGGTAGATCTTACAGAAGACCAGATGATTCTTTGTTTGTTAGACAACAACCAAAAGAAATTGAAAAGAAAGTTTGGAAGCAACAAACTAAAGAAATGGAAGAAATTAGAGGTGAACTTGAAGGTAAAGTTGATGACAGAGAATATGTCTCTGAAGAATAGACTAATACAACTTGGTTATTTTTTTATATATATATAATCTAAATTATTATTATGGACAGTATGAACTTTTTTTTTCAATTTTTATTCTATATAATTTTTATATTTATGTTTATTTTTTTCTTTTCAATATATTATAGAGACTTGTAATTTACTTCTTTATGATATTCCGTTTCCTTCTTTATTATCTTACATGGTTAGTTTAATCAGGCGTTTGATATGAAAGTAGCCTCGGAATTAGTAAAACAATAAACAAGCGATAACGGTAATAAAATACAATCAAGAAAATAAAACGACGGGTTAAAGGGAGGCTTGTATTGTATTGATTAGGAAACTGACAATGGTGATGGTGTTTTTTTTTTTTTGTTTTTTCTGAATCAAGATCGTGAAGTGTCTGATGATGCTCTTTGTTACCTACCAAATATAATTAGATTATTTGTGAAACAAAGGGTGCATATACGATGATGATTGTGTCTGATTTTATTTGTGGTGGTAGTAGTTGTGGTGGTGCTAGTGGTGGTGGTGGTGGTGGTGAGCGGGTCGCGATACACTAAAGAAAAATGAAAAACCCCGCGATGAATTTGCATCACGTGCCCCCGTTAACCCTCATGTGCTACCATGCAAGTTGCAGAAGTTTATTCCGACTTGTGACGAACGGATAACTGGAACACATACTTAACCTACTAAAGAGAAACATGATTTATACAAAAAGGAGAGAAAAAGAAAGGAATTAAAAATTTCGTTTACTTGAAGATGAAATTTTTTTTTTCTTTTATTTGTATTTAGTTTTTTATATAACCTTCTTCTTTCCCGTTTCGATTTTTCTTCTATAAATTTTGCTTTGAATAGTTTTATATTGTTAGAGTTAAATTTTTAACTTAAGCTCAGATTCATCTTCTTGTTTAATCACCTAGTTTATATTCCCATCTGTCACGAGGCATAGTTTATTTTTTATTGGTTTGTCTCGCCCTGTGTTCAGCCCTTCCTTTATCATCTACGCCCATCTCCCAGTACCACCCCCCCCCGTGTCACTGCCAAACACATAAGAAATATTATAAAAATAATTTAGTCCTTGATACACGAACAATAATTAATTAAAATTTTCCAAGACCAATTACACACAGCAACTTTAGAATAATTATAATACAAACAGTCCGTTGTTCTTTTTAGTTGTAGTTCATTTTTTAAAATATAAAAAAACGTCACATATCACAACTATTCTACTACTACAACTACTGGTATCTTTCTTGTAATGAAGTTCGAGGAATCTTTGCGTGAAGGTCTAGTACCTGAATGGCAAGATCAATACTTGGACTATAAACATGGAAAGAAACTAATAAAGAAACTTAATAAACTAAAGGAAGAGTATGAAACTGAAGTGTTTAATGAAACCCACAATGAAAATAATACACTCCTAGGAACTCTTGATACTAATAATATTAAACCTAGCGATACAACTCCATTACTTGATTTATCAGAACCTCAAGAAGCATACACCATTGAACCTTATATCCCACCACAATCAGCAGCACAAACTAGTGAAGTTACAACAAGAAGAGCAAGACGTCGACTGTCAATATTTGATTTTTCAATTCGTACACCACCAAATAAAAAAGAAGAATTTTATACTGGGAAAGAAAATTTCATGGATTGGTTGAATAAAGAAGCAGTTAAAGTTGATGATTTTTATATTGAAAAAGAACAAGATGCATATGAAAGATTTTTATTATTGGAAGATCAATTATATGAATTACGAGATCATAAGAATCAATTAATTAGAGAGAAAAGTAGTCATGATTTAAGAAATCATAGTCATTCTTTAACTACTAATAATGTTGTTCATACGGTTAATGATTTGGCTTATCATACTAAATTTGCCCTTAGTGGATTGAATAAATTTGAATTACCGAGTTTACCTTCAATGAAATTTTTGAAAAAGCTTAAATCTAAGAAAAAACAAAAAACTGAAGATCAACTTTCTTTACAAATTCAAGAATCTGTTGATTTGAATTATGCTGAAAATAGAGTTAGAAATGGGGATGTTGATTTAATAGAAACTGAAACTTCTAAATCTGAAGATCCAAGTTCTTCATCTGAAGCTGAAGGAGATTCTGAAACTGTTTCAGTTCCTGATGCCCCTCCTCCTATTTTAACTCAAGAACAAATTCAACAATCTAATCGTCGTGATTATGTGGTTAAAAAAGAAGAATTTGGTGTTCCTTATTTATACGCCAAAAAACATCTTAAACATGCATTATTGGAACATTATCGAGCTTTATCATTATTACAATCTTATAAAACTTTGAATAGAACAGCTTTTAGAAAAATCACAAAGAAATTTGATAAAGTAATGGGTACTGAAATAATGGAACCATTTTTGGAAAAACTTGATTCAACTTCATATTTTGTCACCAGTGATTTATTGGAAAAATTAATTAATCAAGTTGAAGAATTATATATTGCATTTTTTGATCCTGGTTCACAGGATAGGAAACATGCTTTGGAAAAATTGAAAACAATTGCCTATACTATAAATGCATCAGAGATGAGACCACCTAGTTATTATAAAGAAATGTTCACTGGTGGGTTATTTTTGGGATTTGGATTCCCATTATTTGTTCTTGCAGTTTACACAGCATTACATAAGAATTTCACCGGAGAAATGCCAGAAGCTACAAATTTAATGCAAATTTGGGCCGGGTTTTTCTTGGTTAATTTGGCATTGGTTATGTTTACCATTAATTTGGCCATCTTTGATAAATACAAGATTAATTATAAGTTTATTTTTGAATTTAACGTGGCAACAGCATTAAATTATAAACAATTTGTGGTACTACCGGCATTTGGATTGCTGTTACTTTCATTAGTTGGATGGTTCAGTTTTAATGATTTTTGGCCTCATAAATTTCCTGGTAGAGATTGGCCGTGGCTTTATTTTGGAATTCTTGTGGTTTTATTTTTATGGCCAGGTAAAGCATTTTATGGAACTAGTAGACGTTGGTTACAAATTGCCATGTTAAGATTGGTATTTTCTGGTCTTTATCCTGTTGAATTTAGAGATTTTTTCCTTGGTGATATTGTATCTTCATTAACATATTCTATGAGTAATATTGCTTTGTTTTTTTGTATGTATTCACATCATTGGAGAGGAACTTTGGCAGGCCAAGATCGAGCCGATAATACCTGTACTTCAAATCAATCAAGATTAATGGGATTTTTAGCTACATTACCAAGTATTTGGAGATTGTTACAATGTCTTCGTCGTTATATGGATACTGGTGATTGGTTCCCACATTTGGCAAATTCTTTAAAATATTCCATGTCTGCCGTTTATTACATAACATTGAGTGTTTACCGTATTGATAGACGTTCAGAAACCAAAGCTGTGTTTATTGTTTTTGCCAGTATTAATTCTGTTTATACAGCAATTTGGGATATTGTTATGGATTGGTCTTTATTACAATCAGATTCTAAACATTTTTTGTTAAGAGATCATTTATTTTACAAAAAACCAATTTATTATTATTTGGCCATGATTGCTGATGTTGTTTTAAGATTTCAATGGATTGTTTTTGCATTTTTCGGTAGACCAATTAATGAATCTCCAGCAACAGCATTTTTAGTTGCACTTGCTGAACTTTTCCGAAGATTTATTTGGCTTACATTTAGAATGGAAAATGAACATGCTACTAATGTATTTTTATTTAGAGCATCTAAAGATACTCCATTACCTTATGCTGTTTCCAAGAAAATTGAAAAAGCTGTGAAAAAATTGGTTCAATTACGTTATTATTCTAAATATCCAGAAGAAGCTATTCAAGATGAAGAATTATCTCCAGAAGTTTTGGAAACTACTATTGAAACACCTCCAGGAACAGCTACTGTATCTGGTGCAAGTGCAAGAGCATATTCGTCAGGTATTAGAGAAGCAAGAGATGAAGAAGCTTCTGTTGCAGTTAGTAGAAGAACAATGGTTAGTTCACAAATGACACCACAAAAGAAAAGTACATTATCTAAGATTAGTACTAAATTGAATCGTGCTCATATTAAAGATTTCCAAAGAAGAAAAACTACTGCTGAGATTGAAGAAGATAGTGATGATGATGACGACGACGAAGATGATGATTATAATCTTGCACCATTAAGAAGAATACCAACAACAGCATCAAGTAGGTTGGTCTCTATAAGAGATGAAGAAAATGAATAGATACATAGATATATATATATATATATACCTTTATTAATTGCATATAGTTTGAATACATTTTATACAATAGTTCAATATTATTTATTTACATTTTATACAATAGTTCAATATTATTTATTTACATATTCTAAACTGCTTGGACTAATTGTAATGGATACATATATTATTGGTTTAAATATGAGAATCTTTGTCATTTTTAATCCTATATTCTTCTTTCGGACTGAATAATATTTTAATATGTTTATCTTTATGATTTACCAATTCAACAAATCCATCTTCAATAGCATTTTCTAAATGAATTTTTGAAGAAATCAATAATTTTAATTCATCAATTGGAATTAAACCATCTTCAATAGCTCTAACTGATTCAACGAAATCTTCTTTAACAAAACAAATTGAACCAGTCAATATTTTTTCATTAAAAGTAACATCCATTGGGAAATAATCAATTGCTTTATGAGCCCAAATTGCAACATTTGTAGAACAACCTCTAATTTTTAAAGCTTTTAACCCAATTTCAAAAGTCGCAGGAACTCCTGAACAATCATAAGAATATTTAAAACCTAATCCATCAGGAGATAATTTTTTAAGATCTTCAACACATTCATCAACAGATTTACCAGTTGGATCATAAGTTGTAACCCCTAATTTTTCAGCCAATTTTCTTCTTGCTAATGCTGGTTCACTAACAACTATATGACCTACTTTATTACCTTTAAGGGCAAATATAGTAGTCAACCCAATTGGACCACCACCAAGAATTAATGCACTTTCACCAGGTTGAAAATTGGATACTTTTACAGCATGCCAACTAACAGCAATTGGTTGAATTAATGCTGCAACATCCATTGGTATACCTTTAAATGGAATTACTTTTGATGATGAAGTAACCATATATTCAGCACAACCTCCATCTGTGAACCCACAACCAGTTAATCCTAAATAATCACAAGCATTATATTGACCATCTTTACAACTTGGACAATGTGGTTTTTTAGGTGAGTTAGGAAATCTAATTCTATCTTTACAAGTACCAGTAACTTCAACAACAACAGTATCACCAATTTTAACATCTTTAACTTCTTTTCCAATATCAACAATTTCTCCAGATATTTCATGACCTATAACCCCACCAAAAATTTGAGAAATTTCATGAACTTCACCTTTTTTAGGGAAAAATATTGGTCCATCAGTATATTCTTTTAAATCTGTTCCACATATCCCACAATAATGAATTTTAACTTTAACATCGTGTGGTTGAATTATTTGTGGTTCTGGATAGTCTTCTTCATAACGAAGATCTCCTTTATCGTAATATACTAAAGCTTTCATTCTTTAATTTTGAATAATAATAATAATAATAATAATAGTAGTAGTAGTAAGTTTGTTTGATTTAATTTGATTTGATTTAATGATGAATAAAAATATAAAATAAAAAAAGAGATATCAATTAAAAAAAATTGAAATTGTTGAAACATGTCTATACATATTTATACTTTACCTCCCCCCGCCCTCAATTGTCCAATTGTTCATTCATCAATATTCATCGAGTCTAACAAGCAAATACAAAAAAAAGTGGGTGAAATGTACAATCGATTAAAAAAATAAAATAATTACATAAAGAAAACTCGAAAATATAATCTTAGTGTTACTTTCCGTATGCTCCCCCATTCGGCGAACAATTAATGAAATTGATAATGCATAAATGATAAAAAGAGGGGTGAATGAAAAGAAGCAAATAAAAGCAAGTACAAAACAAACTAGAGCCAAACAATAAAATAACAGATGAGTTTAATCTTGCTATTGTGCATGTGGTGCTTGGTTCATGGTTCATGGTTTGTGTATCATTTATTTTTCTTTGCTTTGCTTTGCCTTGACTTGTCATCATCACAAAGAGCAAGTTGAAAAATGAATGATGATGTTGATGACAAAGTTGGTGATATGGATGATTAACGGAAATATGAACTGTCTCGGTTTGTCATAGTCCACGAGGCTGTATTTATCTCTACCTCATGCGATATTCAATCAATTAAACAATCAACAAGGTATCCTCCACCCCCCCCGCTCATTGTATATATAAAACTTAACTTTGTATACGTGTATCGATTATCACAACTCGTCTTAATAATTCCGGATTATACCGAATTCCGGGACTTTCCTGCAGGCGCATGGACCGTATTCATGCATGATGTGTGACTCGCAGGTCAGTCGAGTTGGTTGGTGCTGGTGGTGCTGGAGGTGGTGTCAACGTGGCGACGGACGTCATACTCCGAGCTTAGTCCCGTGCGCGGACCTTGGCATCGCGCGGATAAATTTCTTTATTTTTTCTTGGAGAATCTCATCCCGTAATCAAGCATAATTCATTGGCCGTGAACTATCTTGAAATTTTCACATTTGAAACAACGACCCAAAAACAAGGACCCCCCCCCCCAAGAATATAGTGTTTAGTTAGTCATGTCAATTGTAGAATGACATACGATTGTGAATTATGATCTGTTTTTTTTTTCTTATTATTTCCTTTATCTTACGGCGATTTTTTTTTTCAAAGAAATCCAAGTTTAATTGATGCAAAACGAAAAATTATTATACGGTGTCTATCTATAAATCTATTCTATATATCATTAAATATCTAAGAAAAAATGAAAATTAAATAAATAAACAAATAAAAGAAATAATGCTAATGCAAAAACAAACCTGATTAAACTTAAAGAATAAAGATGATTGCAGTAAGAATTGCAATCAATGAAGATGGAACATTAATTGAGCCACCACTAATAGAAATTGGAATTTCTGGAACTTCAGTAGGTTCAAAAATATTATTACCAGCTGAAATCATTCCTCTGGCTGGACTTGTACCACTATTATTTATTTGATTAGATTCTCTTTGCTCTTGAGAAGGTTTATTAAGATTGTTATTTTCAGAAGTTGAAATTCTTGTATTATGTGTCAAATTAGCGACTCCTGCAGCACCATTTTGATTTTCTTGGTTTTGTTCCTTATCAGTTGATTGACCACGTGAAATTCCAAGACCTCCTTGTTGTTGTTGTTGTTGTTGTTGTTGATTATGTTGTTGATGTTGTTGTTCATCTGGGTTTCTTGGCCCTGTAATTGTAACACCATTAGTAGAACCACCAATACCTAGTTGTCCTTGTGTGGTAGCATCAGGTGATGGTCTACAATTTGTTCCTTGTTTTTCACAATTAATTACAGCAGCTTCCCCACTTGGATTAGTTAGTACCCCATTTTGAGTTACTGAACTAACACCTTGAGTTGAAACAGATGATGTCGAAGTAGTTTTAGAAATAATATTGGTTGTGAATGAATATCTTCCAAGTGTAGATGTAAATGAAGAACTGGATGTAGATGTAGATGTAGATGTAGATGATGATGATGATGATAATTCTAATACATTGGTTTGGGAAGGAACTAATGAAGCATCAGTATCTAAAGCAACTTGTGATTGACTATTAGATGAAGTATCTTGTGATTGAATTCTGAAATAAGATGAAGATGATGTAGAAAAGGGGGTAGAACTTTCAATAGCATCAATAATTTCTTCAATTGGATTAGATGATTCAATCAAAACATCAGTTTCAGTAATTGATTTAGGTTCTTCAGGTAATGTATAAAAATCAGATAAAATGGAAGCCAAATAATTTATTTCAATTTGAGTTTCATCTTCAGGTAAAGAAGAAGAAATCAAATGTATAATCTCTTGAGCATCTTCATTATTTGATTCAACATCTTTATCACCATTTGGTTTATTCAAATTTTTAGAATTGAAATATTCAATTAATATACTCCACAAAAGATCCAAATCAATACTGTTATCACTTTCTGGTATGTATGATGAAACAATATTAATAATTTCTTTAACTATAGCAGCTATAGTAGTTGGTCTATTAATAGGAGCTCCAGTTGGTTGAGATGTTTCAACAGATGAAATATGACTAGATAAACGTGACACTAATGATGAAAGTTGAGTATGTGATTTTATGGATGAATCACTGGTAGATGTTAATAAAGTAGTAACCAGTTTCTTATATTCAGTTTGTGATGTTGAAGCAATAATTGATGATTCTTCAACCGTTAAATCTGTAGTGAACTCTGATGAGTCAATAGATGAACTTTCTTTAGTAATTTCTGGATCCATACTTGAAATGGAAGATTTAATAACTTTAGTTTCATCTGTTTCAATAGATTCATCAATTTCTTCAACAGAACTAGTTGGTTCAACATTTCCACTGGTAATTGATTCTGGTTCATCAGGCACGGGATAGAAATCAGATAAAATTGTATACAATTGAGTAACTTCAATTTGAGTTTCATCTTCTGGTACTGAAGCAGAAATGATTTCCATCATAATTTGTGCAGTGATGTAGTTGTCATTAGATAATATATCACTTGGATCCATGAAATCACCAAAGTCAAAAAAATCAGCAAAAATATCCCACAAGAATCTTAATTCAATTTTGGTTTCATTTTCTGGTACATATTGTGAAACAACATTCATTAATTGAGCAACAATAGGAGCTGGTTTACTTGGAGTATCACTAGGAATACTAGTTAGTTTTGTTGTTTCAATGGAAGAAAAATGACTTGATACGATAGACAGTAATGATGAAAGTTCAATTTGAATACTCTTGGATGATTCAACAATGGCAGTTGTCAACGTAGTGAATTGTGGTTTTTCCTCGGTTTCTGATGTAGTTGTAATAATAGTTGATGGGCTATTTTCTTCAGTAGCTTCAACTGATTCAATCCAATTAACCATTCCACTAGCGCTTGATTCAGGTTCATCGGGCACAGGATAGAAATCAGATAAAATTGTATACAATTGAGTAACTTCAATTTGAGTCTCATCTTCTGGTACTGAAGCAGAAATAATATCCATCATGATTTGAGCAGAGACAAAATTATCATTAGATAAAATATCACTTGGATCCATGAAATCACCAAAATCAAAGAGCATTGAAAATATATCCCATAATGATCTTAATTCAATCTTGGTTTCATTTTCTGGTATGAATGATGAGACAGCATTCATGATTTCTTTAACTATAGGTGCTGGTTTAGTTGGAGTTGGTTGTGAAACACTAGTCAGTTTAGTTGGTTTAATTGATGATAAACGACTGGATAAAATAGACAGTAAGGATGAAAGTTCAATGTGAACACTTTTAGTTGATTCACTATTATCAGTTTCAGTAACAAATTGTTGAGATGATTCACTTGAATAGGTAATACTATCACCATCAATGATAGTAGCAACACTAGAAGATTTTTCAACAACAACATCAATTAAAGATGGTTCTGATTTACTTGAAACACTCTTGTCTTTGATTGAACTAAAATGTTCCCATGAATCAATTGATTCAACACAATTTTCTTCATTACAATGATCAATTGGGTATTCACTTGGATATTCACTAACTTGTGTAGTTTCTTCAGTGATACTTTGTAATTATTGATTGTTGATCGATTGGTACGAAAGATGAAGACACTTCATTAATAGAAACTGGTTTATCAGGAATAACAATAGCTTCACTAAGAATATAACTTGTTTTCGTATGAATGGACTGTTCTTTTTCAGTCGTAGTAAATGATACCTTTTTGGTAGTAGTTCTTTCATATTTGATACTAGAATTCCAATAAAATGAATAATCAATAACAACTTCACTTGCACTTGATTCTTCTGGAATTTCATATTCTGAAGAATAAATTTCTGCGGAACTTATTTCTAGTGATTCATAAATTTCCAGAGTTTCAAAAATTTCAATATCTAATGATTGTTCAGGAATTTCACTTGTTGAAGTTTCATAAGAATCAATTGGTATGTCTATATCAGAAGTTTCAAATGGATCAATATTTGAAGAACCTTTAGATTCATTTTCATTATCTGGAATTTCAGAACTATCACTTGTTTCTAACAATTCATCAATTGAATTATATTCACCTATAGATTTTGAAGCAATATCTGAAAATGATTTGCTAATACTTGATTGTGGGTGAATATAATAATGTGAACTTTCCATGATATAATCTGTATTTTCATTTTCTTGTTGATCAACAGTAATATCTGGTTCTTCGGAAGGTAATTGTGAAGCTTGAATAATAGTAGATGGTATAGCCAGGGAATTTAAATATTGTGGTTTATTATTAGTATGGTTGAAGTATGGAAGCATTTTCCATTGTGATTTGATTGGAGTATCTAAACCATAATCATATTCAACTGAAATTACCAATTTACTCAATAATAATAATGCTAGGAACCAACGCATGTTTAAAATCTAAAGATGCTAATGATAGGTAACTATTTATGTTAAAATGATAAAGTATTGAATAATTAAATAAATAAATAAGTAAATAAATAAATCAAGAATGGAAAAACAAGGATTTTGCATCTAGATGAGAAAGATTTAATGGGTTTTATAATGTCAAAGAATGATTGAAAATTCTTGTATATTCAAGGATCAATTTCTTTCTTTTTCTTTTTTTATTTTTTATTTTTTTTTTTCCTTCTACTTCACTGGTTATTATTTGATGATACTATTCAACAATCTATGGAATAATGTCACCTTGAATAACTTTTCTTTCGATATAAATTGAAAATTTCCAAAAAAAAAATGAAATAAAAAAATATTATTATTTAATCTAAGTTTCCAAAAAGACAGAGTAATTTATTTTTGTTTGATATTTTTTTTATACTTATTGGTAATTTGGTGTATTATACATTAATTTGTTGATAATTATTTTTTAATTTCTAGTATATTATATTTATATTTCTATTTCAACATGGTGGGGAGGGCTGGCAAAGTTGTATAGTTGCAATCGAACAAGAGCAATATTTCTTTGGCTGTGAAAAAAAAAAAAAGAAAATTTCACTGATGGTAGCAACCAAAAGGGTAGCACAGGCATGGTACTGGGACCTGGCCAGGGCGTAGCATAACGACAACAGAACAAGTTTCATTTCTATTATTTTTTATATTCCTTCTTTAATTTCTGTTTAATTATTTTTTTTTTCTTTTTTATAAGAATTATTGTATATGTTTTTTTAAGTTGATCGTCGTTCCTAAATTAGAATTATGATGACAGTAAACCAATGATCGATTGTTGACAATTTGGATTATACCTTTCATCTTTCTCGTAAATTTACTCAGTTTGTTTGGGACACGACCCATGGTACCGATCTACCGCGATGCAATAAATCAATAGGTGGAGTTTCCCTTTTCAAATATAAAAATAAAACCATTGAATTGTTACTCATGACATATATTTTAGAGATTATGTGTCCTTATTACTTTATATCTGTAAGATTCGATATTCATTAAATTATTCATATAATCAGAATAAGCTTCTTGATACTTCATTTAGATTAGATTTAAGTTTTACCTTTTCTTGTATTATGTCAAAAACCGTCAAGCCCGTTTTTCTGTTTTTTTTTTAAGGAGGACCCATCAGCAAACCTAAGTCTTTGGTTTAATGTTTATTGTCAAGCTTATGAAACAAAACATAAAAAAAAATCCGAAGAAAAATATAATAATACGAATAATACCTTAATTCTAAAAAGGTTGCATTTTTTTCATGTCGTTGGTGGAAATGTAATTCCATTATAACCTTGGTAAAACTGAACACGTCTTTCAAATTCAGATAACTAGAAATGTAACTCTACGTTGTTCAATACAATATGACCTAAGTGATGAAATAAATCATAATCAAGTTAGATTTGATAATCCCATAATAGAATAGAAACAAAGTACTGTTGTTTTAAATCATTGAACTCGATATATAAGATCCTTATCTTTTGTTTTATTTTTTTTAACACTTGTCAAATTGTTCCTCAATGTGGCATAATCATAATGGTTACATATTTTTGCATCAATAATCCGAGGTTCATTTGAAAATAAATAATCCGGATTTCAATGAAACCTTAATTTTCAATTATCCGTCATCCTAATAAATGAAAACTACAGAGCATCGCCTACGATAGAAAACCATTATCAATAGCACGAATTTATATAACCATTATTGTCATTTTACCCGTATTTAGTTAAATTAGTTCAAATTTAAATTTAAATTTTTAATTTATTAGACTGTGTAAGTTTTTTAGTCGGTATTAGGTTTATGTTAAATATACTTTTCAGTGGAGTTATTTCTCCGGTATGGTTATTCCGAAATGTGATAGATCTTTCTTCTCTGTCGGTTTAATTTGTATTGATAGTCTATAAATTCGGAAAAACTTTCATGGTAATACAAGAAATAATGAATACTCTTCCCAATAAAAAAACCTCCTGAAACTTGCTCCCCGAGTCGTTTTAATTTTCCTATATCCCCCACCTTTCTTGGATATAATATTTTTAATTTATCAAAACGTGGATTTCTCATTAATTTATCATTCCTGGTAATGAAATGAATTCAATTTCAAGGCACTAAAGAGATGGTCAAGAATTTTTACTACAGATATGGAATAAGGTGATGACACACTCTGTTACATCATTTATTCATCAAGTATACAATGCTGGTTTAATAAGATACAATCGCCGCCACGTTCTGGATCCAATCCATAGATGTAAAGCATTCCCTCGGTTGTAACAACATATATATGAAATAAACTAACTTCCATTAGGTCTTGTTTAGCACTTGAATTGTCATTAGCAAGATAACTTTGCGGGATTAAATCTTGTTGTAAAACATTATTCATAACTGCTACTGATTTGGCATCTTTAGAATGAGCATTTATTTTCAATGATGCAAAACTTCTTGTTGGTTCTAAAATTGACGAGAATCTAGATGGTAAGAAATCTCCCATTTTTTGAGCAGCTTTTCTACCCAATGTTTGTGATGATCTTCTAATCATTCTTGCAACTGACAAACGGTTTTGATCAATGAGTGGTTCCGTTTTAGGAGAATTACTTTGAGCATCCTCTGATGTGATACTAGCATAAGAATTGGAAGATCCCTGGGATAATTTTCTTTGCTTTGCGGGAATAACTTCAATTGATTCGTCATCTTCATCATCACCCATTTCTTCATCATCTTCTTCTTCTTCAACATCTGAATCGTCTCCATCATCAGCAATATCATCAAATTCATTTGAACTTCGTTTCACATTTTTTGTTTGTCGTGGAGAACTTGATACTTCCCCAGAAGATCCTTCTTCATGTATTGTTTCAACTGATGGTTTCACTTTCTTCTTGTGTTTTGTTGCTAATGATTCTTCATCTCCTAATCTGAAAATATGAACAGTTAAGCTGGAACTTGTGGCTAGCACATACTTGTCATCAGCACTAAAACGAAGGGAATATATCTTTGTTGGATATGTTCCTCTTCTAAATTGGTAAAGTTTGGTTCCTGTTGCAACATCAAATACACGTACAATTGTTCCCTTATCACTAGCTGTTGCCAATAAAGATCCGTCATTTGAGAAAGACATCGCTGCTATAGTTGACTTATGGGCTTCAATAACTGACAAGGGTTGTAAAGTGTTAATATTAAAAATTATGACATCTCCAATTCTATTAGGTGCACTACTGACTGAAACAATGTTATTCTGTACAGAATTCAGTCCACCATTAGTATTTATTCCTGAAGCTAATAGTGAGTCATGAGTAATGGTTTTTGGTGGTGACGGATAAGCCAAATAACTGTTAGTATCATCGTAAGATATTGCACATAAACCATTTAAATTAGGACTGGTTTCAATAGTATGTAATAATTTCATTGTGGTTATATCATAAAGATAAATCTGGTCTTCTAAAACAACAACCAATCGGCTATTGGTTAACTTCACGTGTAATACTGTCAGTGGGAAAGTCAAATCACAAATAGTGGATTTTGTCTTCGTATTTACTATTTTGAGTTTTCTTGGTGATGATCCTATTTCTTCACCCTGGGCAACTATTGCTAATAAGGAAGTACAATATAGCATCTCCACAATACCTACACTTTCATCATTTCTATATTGAAAACATCTTCCAAAATTAGGTTGACAGTTGAATATTTTGTATCCATTAGTTAAACCAATGGCAACACATGATGCATCTTGATTGAAAGTGACATAATTTACTGAATCGCTATAATTTGTTTTACTTCCAATGGATAAGGTGCCATCGTTATTAAGACTGTTGGCGTATTGTTTTGTTAGCTGGTGCTGTAAACTAGCAGCAGCTGAATTCGACAGTGTTTGTAACATTAGATTGGTTAATCAATAACAAAATGATAATGATTATATTGAAATGATGGGTTGTTTAGAGTACTAATGACTTTATGTAATGATGTTTGATCTTGTATTCTAGGTAAATAAGTAAGACGATGTAATTTTTTTTTTTTGGTTCTTCTCACTTTGTCTTTGTTGTCTGTTGTTTGTTGTTCTCTGTTGTTTATGCAAAGTGGATCTCATTTTTCTTTGCTTTTCTCTCACAGTCACACTCACACTCACACTCACACACTCACAACCACGTTATACAACAATAATCTCGTAACAACAGTTGAGACAGTTCAGTTAATTGACAACCAATGACTGCTAATTATGTTTCCATTGAACTATTGTATCATCACGTGAGTACTGGTTTATCAGTGACCCTGACGATAATGACCGAGATAAAAGAGAGACAGAAAAAAAAATGCTAGTTTTTGTTACTTTCCCCACACTGTTATCGTGTAGGCACCTAAATGGTCCGTTCGGCCCCCTGCACCAAGCTGTTTAATGATTGTATCAGAAAACAGGGAAAATATTGTAGGGTGATAGATGTGGTTGAATCAACGATATTAGTCTAAGTTTAATAAAGTAGAGTTTTTCGTATCTCTTTAGTACAAATCTGGTTATTAATAGAGCCTGATTTGTGTTTTTACTCTATTATTTAGCCAAAGTTTAACCAATATTGAATCGTCCAAAATCTTCATAAATTACCGTTAAAAAACCTTTGGTCAGCACATACATCCTTTTAAAAATACGACCAGATAATTTTTCAAAGCATAAAATTAAGAATATTCTTGTTTCATAAGTGATATGATCAAACTACATTCATGACTTTGAAACAAACTGTAAAACAAGGTGGTCAAAAACAACCATCGAATTGGGCGTGTGGCGTAGTTGGTAGCGCGTTCCCTTAGCATGGGAAAGGTCATGAGTTCGACTCTTATCTCGTCCATTTTCTTTTTTTCTTTGGAACTCCCATATTTTTTTTGATTGGAGACTTGGAGATTCAGACAATCAAGAAGTGATTCATTCATGGAATAGATAAGTTGTACCTCCCATTTGAGATAATTTTGACTGCTTATTGAACCTGTGATTATTTTTTTCTTTTTGGTTTACGTGAAATACAGTGTTTCTACTTTCAGTTCGTACCAAGTTCAAAGAAATTATTAATACTAGTGCGACAATTTAATTTATAGTAAGGGAGATTAATTGTTCATAGTAAATGGAGTCAAAATGTTCACACCAGCGGAAATAATACTTTCAAACTAGCTGCCCTTTTTTGTTCATACCATATATCATACATTTTCAGTATGAACAAATAGAGGTCATGTAATATGAACATTTTTTGCGCACTAGTATCAAAAATATTGACCGCCTTAATATGAACTTTTCTTTGCAAATAGTGCGAATAATTTTGACTCACTGATCTGAAAATTATGCTCAAACTAGCGCGAAATAAAACTGCAACGACTGTATATTTCGGCTCTAAAAGCAATAAACACTGTCGGAGCATAAACGAGGATTTCTATAAGGTATCTGCCCATCTGGAAGTAGTGAATAAACCATTGAATTGTAACCAATGGGATCAACTAATTCTTGGAACTCATGACCATGAATATATTAGTAGACTAGATTAGCACCTGGCAATACAGATTTAATTATCAAGATACTAATGAAACCTTACTTATAATGTACATTATTAATCTATTTAGATATCAGAAATTTACGTGCAATACTTCAAATAAACCTACTTCATCAAATAACCTGTTTGTGATCATTTAAGTATAGGTGTGACATTATCCAAGAAGGAAAAACAGTACTCTTCTATAGTACACAATTCACAACCACCTAACTCTCCAATTTCCAACAACAACAAAACAGGGCGTGTGGCGTAGTTGGTAGCGCGTTCCCTTAGCATGGGAAAGGTCATGAGTTCGACTCTTATCTCGTCCAGTTTTCTTTTTTTGCAAACTTATGCTTCTGACACAAGAATGTAATACGTTCTTAACGAATTGTTAGTTTTGTATTTAATTTAATTTAATTTAATTATAGAGTTTCTTTACTGTATAAAATTATACATTTTTAGCTAACCAGGTAGTGAAATTATCAATCATTTTATCAGTAACATCATGACCAACACCTTCAGCGATATAAACACCAGTCGAATCATTAGTATTTAAATATAAATCACACCAAACAGAACTTAAATTTTGAGGAACCAAAGTATCATCTTTACCAAAACAAGCAAACATTTTAATTTTATTCATTGGGAAATTTTCAAAAATAGCTTGATCTTGTTTTGAAATTTTTTTATGTAATGATTCAGGATATTTTAATTTTTCATCATTTGATAAATCTAATTCATCATAATTAAAATAGAAGAATTTTTTATCATTATCTTTAATTGATCTTAATCTTGTAATGAATAATGAAGTTAAATCACTACAACCAACAACTGGATGGATTGCTTGAACTAATTGAGGATATTGCATTGCATAACGAATAACAACATGACCACCAAGTGAATAACCACATAAAATATTATTAAATTTAATTTCTGTACTTTGATTAATTGCTCTAAATTCAGGAGTTAAATAATAATCTAAATTTAAATAACTTGGAAGAAAATCCATAATTAATTTAATATTTTGAATAGTTGAATCAATAATTGACATCATATCAATTGCATGATTTTGATTATTTTCATTCCAACCTTGATTATTTTCATTATCAATTAATCTTTGTCCATGATTTGGAATATCAAAAGTAATACAAATTAAAGGAGTTTCAACATTTGATTTTTTTTCATAATATTGCTTTAAATAATTATAAGCAACTGCTTCAGTATATTTATAATTTCCTTCACGATGATGAATTAAATAAACAACATTAATTGGAATGACATCAACTGGGTGATCAACTTTATTAAATTGTTCAACATATGATACTAATTTATCTGAATTATAAACATGTGTAGCAATTCCACCAATATTGTAAGTTACTTTGGAGTAAGATTCAGGATCAAATTCAAATAATTTCATTGTGCTTTTTAAAAATGGAGTTTTGTTGAACCAACCAATTGAAAAAGAAGTGTATTGCTTCCCCATTCTTTTTTTTTTCATCTTTCATTTCGTGGGTTGATTTTTGTTTTTCATTCGGTTAATTGATTGCTAACAACCCCACCGCGTCCACGCCCACGTCCACCACCACCGTAGCCCAGTCCGTTCTTCCTCGCTAATTATTTTTTTCATTTCACCAACTCACCCACCCACATATTATACGAGCTAGCTAAAGAATAATATGCAAAGTTCATTAAGAATTATTTTGAAATAATTTGGAATTAATTTCATTGGTCAATTCATTGAATACTTCCATTCAACGTTCATAAACCACATTATAATTCGGAACCATGAGTAGGAAGAGGTGGAGAAGTGTTCAATTGTTTTCGGTAAGTCGGTTTAATGGATACACCTCAAGAGTTGTAATAATCTTTACTATCAAGGTAAAAGGAATCGGAACAACCCCCTCACTTTCTCCATAACTGTATCTCATATCAATAAGAAATAATAATAATAATATTGACAATAGAAGGCTTGAAATTTGATATTCACAATTCGGCCGACCCTACAGGGCAAGATCCCAAAAGGACGTGTCCTAATCATTTTGCTTTTCTTTAAGCAAGAACGGCTACTAATATTGATACTATCCGTTCGCCATGTTAGAATTTGTCCGAAAACATCAAAATACTCTCAATGCTACATCAATGGAAATCAAAAATGAAAAGTGGAACAAAACAAATATCAAGAATAACTTAATCCGTTGAACACGGCTAGTTCAACTATTTGTTGCTTTTCCTTATCACTGGGTTTACGAAGGAAAAATTGAATTGTTAACGGATACAAAAGGTAGACTGTGTTTGCTGCATATGGTTTAAAATAGGACATCAAGTAAGAAGTAGACTAACTATGCAGCACAACAAGCTAGAATAAATAACTTCATGTAAGTGAAACTTCTGTTTACCAAACCTCGAATGTGGGTCAAATATCCGCAAGGCATCAATTACAATAGTTAGAGTTCATTTCCCACTTTCCCTAGCCCCTCCTTTTTGTGTGAGTGAAACTCACATTCCAACTTACATGACATATTGATTGGAATACCGGAAGAGATTCATTAGAAACAACCAACGAACCAAAAACAAATCAAACAAACCCGGGGATAAGTCAGCATAGATCTGGCAATCAATCTACTGAACCTACTTGTGTAAAAAAAAAAAAAAATGTTTTGTGGTCGTGTACACGCCACCGTTAACTACGGATAAATTTTCTCCTCTCTCTCTCCACAAAAATGTAGAAGAAGAAGAAGAACAACTGAATGCAAATATTTCACAGGCTTGTTTCATTAATTAATTAATTAAAAAAAAAAAAAAACTATAAATAACCAAGCACATCCCCTTTGATTTTCCTTTCTAAACCCAACAATTCTGATTGCCACTTCTTAATCTTCATTCTTTACTTAGCCTTGATCAATAATTTACAATGACACCACCTTCTAAAATTGAGGACAGTTCATCATCATCATCCTCATCAGCAGATTCTTCCACTTTTGTTACTGGTAATTCATGGTATACTAAAGTATCAGATATTAAACCAGGTGTTGATAGATTAATTGACGCTTTTCATACTAAACAAAAGACTCAAGATGTTCAATTTCGTTTAAATCAATTGAGAAACCTTTATTATGCCGTTCAAGATAATACTGATGAATTATGTGAAGCTTTAGAGAAAGATTTTCATCGTGCAAATACTGAAACTAAAAATTTAGAAATTGTTGGTGGATTAGCTGAATTAGTTCATACTATGTCAAGTTTACACGAATGGTTGAAACCTGAAAAAGTTACTGATTTACCAATTACTTTAAAAACTAATCCAATTTATATTGAAAGAATTCCATTAGGTGTTGTTTTAATTATAAGTCCATTTAATTATCCTTTCTTTTTATCATTTTCTGCTATTGTTGGTGCAATTGCTGGTGGTAATGCAGTTGTTTTAAAACAATCTGAATTAGCTCCTAATTTTTCAAGTTTATTTAGTAAAATTTTAACTAATGCTTTAGATCCAGATATTTTCTTTTCTGTTGATGGTGGAATTCCTGAAATTACTGAATTATTAGAACAAAAATT